TTCTCTGTAAAAATAAGATGATTGTGATGAGGATGAGGAAGTAAATGGGTGGTAAATAGTGACCCAAGAGAGAGAGAGAGAGAGAGAGAGGAGAGAGAGGGAGGGAGGGAGGGAGGGAGATGCGGTAAACAAAATAAATAAAAAAGATGAGGATGAAAAACAATGAGAATAGAAAACAAAATAATCAGTAAACAGCATTAACTGAATTTTTCATGGAAAGAAAAAAATTTCATCTCTATTTATTTATTTGGAATTTACTTTTCCTTTTTTATCTTCATTTTTTTTTACTTTATCAAAATAATCAATGAAAAGATGAAGATGATAATGATGATGATGATTATTAACAAATAGTCAATTTGATTAACCTGGTAATCAAATAAACACCAGGAACAATTTATTACTAAACAACAACAATACTCTTGAACAATTTACAGAATTAAATATCTTGGTGCTGATTAAAGTTCAATATTCAACTTTTAGTTATGTATCATTAGCTTTCATATGATGAAGATGAAGATGAAGATGATGAAGATGATAAAGATAAATATGAAGAGAAAGAATAATTTCTCTCTATTTGTTTGTTTATTTTTCTTTTACTTTTTGTTATCCTCATCACATGGACCTCGCCTTTTATCAATATCCTTCATCCTCTTTTCATCATCCTCCCTTGTAAGGCTAAATTTCATCACCATCATCATCATCATCATTGTTGTTGTTGTTGTTTACTTTTTGGTAGATGATGAAAGTAAAGGAAAGACTAAAACAGCAAACAAAATCTGAAGAGTTCTGAGTTTTAGATGATGAACATGATAAACACACTCACTCACACATGATAATAATAATTCAGTATATCGATCGATAAAAAGATATTATTGTAATTTATTATTAGGATGGAAAAAATATTTTCATCTCTCATCATCTCTCCATCTTCATTATCATTATCATCCAAGCCAATTCTGGATTCATCTTGACTACAACAGTAAAAATAACAAACAATCAAAAATAACAATAAACATACAAACAGTACAAATGGATAAAATTGATGAAGATGAAAACTGTTATCTTCATCCTTTCCTAGATTAATCCTCCAGATGATGATGATGATATGAAAACAGAGGAAATGTAAAATAAACATAGTAAATTAATTATCTCTTTAACTTTTGGTACTAATCAAATTTGTATCATACGAAATCAATATTGGATATTTGATTTTTTTCATGCAATCCAATTGCTTTTTTTACAAGATTAGAAAACTTTTTCAGCAATTTAAACTAATTAATCTAATTATTTTTACTCAGACACACACGGGTACATTTAATCATGTCAATTGTATAATAATTTAACTGATCATATTTCAATTATCATGAGATGATGATGATAACAATACAGAGAGAAACATAATCAAAATTAACTTTTTTTTTCCTTTCTCTCTCATTATCCTAATCTTCATACAATCATCTTCACTCATCCATAGAGTTGCATGGTAACCCACAAGAAGATGAAATTAAATCATGAAAACAACAATCATTTAATTGTCAGAATAATCGAAAAGAAGAAAAAAACGAAAGAGAAAACTTTTCTTTTCCTTATTGTCAATTATTACAAAAACTTTTCGTACTCGTGAAAGTACAGAAAACTTTTTCCTCGAACTTGAAACTTACGAAAATGTATTGGTTGCGTGTTTGTCCAATTACCACATTTCGATAACCAAAGATTAATTAGTTAATCCATTACAATTATCATATCATCAACATTAGAATACATGGAATGATGATAATAACAATTAGTTAATTGTAATCAAGAAAAACAAAACAAAAACAGAGACAGAGACAAAAGTAATTATATAATTACCTTGATTAGTCAACAATTAAATTTGATAACAAAAAAAGGACATGACAACAATCAATATAATTCAATGTATTGATCATGAGTAATTGTAAAAAAGTTATAATTGTTACCATTTGATTGTTGAATAAATTGAACAATTAAACTTAAGTTATCATAATTTCCAGGTAAATTTAATATAACTAATGTTCATTTAATGTTTATTGATGCATAAGTCCATGACCAATATCCAGGTAAATATTATCTACCTGGTTAATACAATATCCATACCGAGTAAATTGTGTTTAATTAGCTCATATTTTTTAATTACTCTAACTTAATTGATGGATTAATTAATTTTCATGTTTTTATTTTCATTAATAATATTTACCTGCGATGATAACTGTTGAAGTTAATTATTGAAGATAAACTAATAATCAATATTTAATCATTGAAATTGGACAAATTTTGCTTGATTACAATTATGATTAGTAATAAATAACAATAATAATAAAGGGAAAATATAATTTTTCACCAACTTCATTCATGCATGATGATTATCATGATGAAGATGAAGATTAAATTGATGTGTGACTTTTGCAGTTTTTTTTTCTCACTCTTCAGCTGATAATCAATGGTGGCAATTGAATTGTTGCTGGTGGGTTTTAATGGAGGTGCGTTGAGTTGATTTGCCAGAGTGAAAGGGTTTCAATATTCATATTTCTGGTTCCTTTTGCTATTATCCTCATCCCTACTTAATGATTGTTAATTTGAAAGCTAAAAATTAGATTGTGATGATTATGATGATGATGTAAAGAGTGGGAGGGAGACAATTATTATTATTATTATCTATCTCTAATGATGATGATGATGATGATTAAATTACATGGACCAGTGAGATTATAACTATTACTCTAATTTAACCGAGAAAAAGTTTTCATTTTTTTTGCTCTTCATCAGGTATTATCATCATTCAGGTTACTCTTTCTTTTCTTTCACCTTTTCTTACCATGTTGATGAAATGGAAATATAATTCTCTCTCAATTCAGTTATTATAATTATTGTATCATGTACCACGCCTTTGATTCCTTGATTCCTGTGACTCTATCAGCTTCCGCCCTGGAGAAACATTTCCCTTCCCACTTTCTGTCCTCTCTTTTACTCAATGGAAATGGTTCATTTTCACCAGCAACCCCACCCTCACCTAGGAAATGCAAGAGAGAGAGAGAGAGAGAGAGAGATTGAGAGAGCGACTCACTTTATAATACCTAAAAATTAATTCCTATCATCATGATCATCATCGTTTTCATGTTTATTGTTTTTCCATTTCCGTTTTTATTATACCTTTTGATGATGATCATCATTAGTTGTTATTATTTTGGTTAATCATCATTTTATATTGTTGATTATATAATCATTATGGTCAATGAATATTTGGATTGAAAATGGTCAATGATTATTATCATGATCACATATCAATGATTCTGGTTCATGATAAAAGCTTATTATTATCATGATGATGATTAGTTATTGTTTTTACCTTAATTATCAAAAATATATTAAAAGGAAATAATAATAAAAAGCTAAATAATTTTAATCACAATAATTTATCATTGGCGTGATTAAAGTCATTTTTTTTCTCTTCCTAGTGTAATGATTATAATTCAAATAATTACCGTTGATTATTTAGTAAAATTTGTTAATCAGACTAATTGTATGTGTGTGTGTGTATGTTGATCAGAAAGAGACAATTAATGAAAGAGAGAAAGTTGATTAGTTCAGAAATCTGCTAATTAGTTAATTGTTATTGTAACAAAGATGATGAGTTGATAGTTTCATGTCACTCGAATTTGTGAGTTAGAACTTTTTTTTTTCTTCTCTTTTTCTCTTTTCACCTCAATTATATTCTGATTGAATTTGTTTGGTTTTTGATGAATTTTTTGTTATCCACACAAAGGTAATTCAGAGTAAATGAATCCCATGGTGATTAAATAGCTGTGATAATAATCCAACAATTGGTTTCCATGAATATTAAAGAAATGATTAAATTCACCAAATATTAGTTGATATTTTTTTCCTTTGAAAAATTCTTACCCCACATCATTTCCGTTTCCTTTCTAGATAGAAAATTTCAGTTTATTTTTGAAAAACCGTTCATCAAAATTTAATTGTTTTTCCATTTTGTCAACTAATTAATTTGGTAAAATTATTGTTGAACTTTGACTTTAATTGTTTTCCACTTTGTTTGTTTGTCTGGTAGAGCGGGAAAATGAGAGAGAAGGAAAAATTTCAAAATTCGAATTTCGAACTTTTTTTTTGCTTATTCTCTAATCGATTCTTTGAAAAGAAATAATAATAAAATTCTCTCTTTACATGATATTCAACCAGCGGCTATTAGTTAATTACAATTCGTTTAATTTTCTCATCAAATATTAGAAATCAAACAATTTGAACAACTTAAATTAAATTTAAATTTCGAAACTTAAACAATAGGAGAAAAGAAATTTAATTAACTTATTATCCTCATCTAATTGTGTCTCCCTTTATTACAACAATCGAAATACAATTAATTAAATTTCACGTCAAACGAAGGACTAAAAAAAGTTCAAAGTTGATTAATTGACTGATTATTGTGTTGATTAACTGATTAGTGTTTACAATCAAAAGTGTTAAAGGTTAGCGTGTTAACAAGTAATCAATTAAGATCTTAAATCATTTTGAACGAGACCAAAAAAGAGAGAAATCAAATTATCACAACTTTAATCATCATGATTAACCTTTGAATGTCCTTTAATCAGAACAATTAATCAGATGAAATCACAAAGAAAGAAAAAAAGATTCACCGAAATCGAAATGTACAAAAAGTTTGTTCATTTCGATTATGAAAAAAATTGTTTTTGTTTTCTCTTCGAATTTCAATTTTCCCGCTTAAAAGAACGAAAATCGATTATTACCCATGAATGTTCAAACTCGAGAGAATAAACAAAAAAGGTTATAACATAATCGATTTGAAATTCGATGAGTAAAAATAATCGACTGAATCTGTGGGATTGTACATGATGTTTTTGTTGTTATTTGTTGTTATTTGAAATTCAAACTTTCAATGATTAAGAAGAAGATTTAATTTTTGTTATCATCATCAGAGTAATAATAATATTGTATTTATATTTATTTAGATATTGATTATAATTGAATAAACTCAATTCTGCCTGAGGAACCATTTTGATTCACCAATTGAGGTTTTCAATTGTGATTCAATCTTTGCAAACCTTATGCAAACTTAATCATCTAAGTAAACAATTGCTTTGGGATTGGTTCAATCAAACAATCAACGGGTTTTGTTGTTGTCTCTAAATATGATAACCGAAGGTAAAACTTTTTGTTAATTTGCTCAGAATACAAATATTATTATTATTCTGAGAACAATTTATGATTAACTAATAAATAATAATAATAAGAATAATAATCATTATATTGTTTCCTTCTTGAAATTTTTTCTCTTCCATTCATTTTTAATTGTTCCCTGTAGAAATCAATCGTAATCGGGAATTTTATCAAAAGACGAATGTTCAACCAACATTTACAATTTCATCTTTAATCGGTGATAATATGGATTATAGTAAACAGACACAATTAGAAGGACTTAATTTAGATCTTAAACAATCAACTGGTATCGGACCGACCACATTATCAAATAATTTAAATCTTAATCTAAATAATAATAACAACAACAACAGTTTATCGACTACAAGTTCATCCGATAAAAAATCTCACCATGAACCAAGAAGACGACGATTAAGTGATAAAGTTAAACCTCGAGATTTATCAATAACCGGATTAACCAATTGTATCAATGGTGAATCTTTGTTAAATACTAATAGTAATTCATCATCATTACCTGACTCACCGGCTCGTAGACGAATAGCTGAACGAAACAATTTAGATATTACCGAAGGTAAATTGATCTTGGAACTTATTATCGAGATAATTATATAAATCGATGTTGGAACTTGAATTAATAGTAAAACTTTTTTCTATTCTTTTACTTTTCTCTACTAGAAATTAATCGTAATCGAGAATTTTATAAAAATGCCGATGTTCGACCTCCATTCACATATGCATCTCTAATTAGACAAGTAAGTTAATTGTTGATTATTAATCATCACAATTAGAATAAGTTGATCTTCATACACTTACTAATCTTTGTTTATGTTAACTTTAGGCGATAATCGAAGCACCAGAAAAACAATTGACACTCAATGAGATTTACAATTGGTTTACGAATACATTTTGTTTCTTTCGTAGGAATCATGCTACATGGAAGGTAAGAAACAATTAGAATATCATGAAATTTTCATTCGATGAATTTCAAGTTATAATTCGAGTCATCGAAGATTCAATTCTTACTGATTAACTTTCATCTTTTTTGCTTAGAATGCTGTTCGTCACAATCTAAGTCTCCATAAGTGTTTCATGAGAGTGGAAAATGTTAAAGGTGCTGTTTGGACTGTTGATGAACTCGAGTTTTATAAACGTCGTCCTCAGCGATTACAAGAGAGACTTTCAACTACATCATCATCTTCATCTTCTTCAGGGTAATTAATTCAATATAAATAAGAAATTGATGATCATTTCATGATCATTGGTCTTTTCTATCTTTTATTATTTGACTAATTTCTTGTTCTCTTTTCTCGATTTTTTCAGGCCAAACGGTAGTCATTTAAGTTTGGAAAACATTCGCCAAGTCGTTGGCTCTCTACCTGATAATAGTACAATTTCGCCCTTCCTACAAAGCATTGTAAATGGACCACTTTCCAGACCAACTTCCGCTTCTCCACATTCGCCCAGTGATCATAACCATAGTCTTAGCCATCATAATCTTAGTCAAAATCATCTCCATGGTTTCCATGGATTAACAAAAGCAACATTATCACATGAAGATGATGATTTCATGGATGATGCAGACGATGATTATAATGAACAAGATGATGAAGATGATGTAGCCATTGGGACTGACGATATTGAGGATGATGAAGTTCTTGATTATGATCGTGATATTGACGATTATGATGGCGACCCTTCAACTGAAGTACAAGACCTACGAGTGACCATCAATAGAAGCTCATTAATAACCAACAATAACAGTGATAATAGTAATATCTCCCAACAATCATCTAATCATCACCATCGTCTCTCATCAACATCCCAGCACCAATCTAATCATCATCAATCATCAAATCACAATTTAATGTTAAATGGTACCAATATTTTCACCTCAACAAGAATGAATTCTGAAACTAACAGAACGGGAACAAAAGTCATAAACTCACAAGAAACCACCAGAAATCAATATGCTCGTTTTCACGACGAATCAGATCGTGATGATTATGATGATGACTTAGATGATGAAGACAATCATAGTATTAATAAAAGTGACTACAGTAAAAAACTGCTATTGGATAGATTAAGTTCAGGCCTGAAACAGTCAAGTATTGGAACGACGACTGGTTTGAATAGAAGTTTGAAATCCAAATCAGCTACAAGAATATCAGATAAAAAATCACATTCCGAGATCAGAAAACGTCGATTAAGTGACAAAAATAAACCTCGAGATTTACCAATAACCAATTTCAGTGAATCCTTACTAAATATCAACAATAATTCACCATTAATTGACTCACCAGTATTCAGATTATCTGAACACAGTAATTTAGATATTACCGAAGGTAAATTGATCTTTCATTCAGTTCGAACTTGAATTAATAACAAAACTTTTTTTTCTATTCTTTTACTTTTCTCCACTAGAAATCAATCGTAATCGAGAATTTTATAAAAATGCCGATGTTCGACCTCCATTTACATATGCATCTCTAATTAGACAAGTAAGTTAATCGTTGATTACTAATCATCACAATTAGAATAAATTGATCTTAATACACTTACTTACTAATGTATTTAAATTGTTCTTTTGATTGTTAACTTTAGGCGATAATCGAAGCACCAGAAAAACAATTGACACTAAATGAGATTTACAATTGGTTTACGAATACATTTTGTTTCTTTCGTAGGAATCATCCAACATGGAAGGTAAGAATTAATCAGAATGTCAATTAAAATTAATCAGTTGACTGATTTCGGTGAAGTCTTATTGATCATGGTTCTAATTTTTTTCTCATTATTCTATTCTTACAGAGTGCTGTTGGTCATCATCGAAGTATAAATGATAAAGTTAGCGAACACGATGCCGATCCTTCTGGAGAAGTACAAGATTTACGAGTGACAATTAACAGAAATTCATTATTTAACAACAGTGATACTGATGTTAATCCACACCAACCATCTAATCATAATAGTTTAATATCAACATCACATAGTCAATCAAACAATAACAATTTTCATCAATTTTCATATCATTATTTAACTTCAAACGGTGGCAACACTTTCTCATCTATTGGAATAAATAACCAAATGGACACAATTAGTGGTCAAAATTTAGAAATTGACAATAATCGCAACATTGATACGAAAAACAAGGAAAATGATTTAGATCAGGACGAAGATGATTTGGACGAAGAAAATGACCAGATTATAAGAGACGTTAATTACAGTAGAAAAGCACAATTAGAAGGACTTAATTTAGATCTTAAACAATCAACTGGTATCGGACCGACCACATTATCAAATAATCTAAATCTTAATCTAAATAATAATAACAACAACAACAGTTTATCGACTACAAGTTCATCCGATAAAAAATCTCACCATGAACCAAGAAGACGACGATTAAGTGATAAAGTTAAACCTCGAGATTTATCAATAACCGGATTAACCAATTGTATCAATGGTGAATCTTTGTTAAATACTAATAGTAATTCATCATCATTACCTGACTCACCGGCTCGTAGACGAATAGCTGAACGAAACAATTTAGATATTACCGAAGGTAAATTGATCTTTCATTCAGCTCGAATTCAACTTGAATTAATAAAAAAACTTTTTTTCTATCTTTTTACTTTTCTCTGCTAGAAATTAATCGTAATCGAGAATTTTATAAAAATGCCGATGTTCGACCTCCATTCACATATGCATCTCTAATTAGACAAGTAAGTTAATCTTTGATTACTAATCATCACAATTAGAAAGAAAGAAAGTTGATCTTCATACACTTACTAATCTTTGTTTATGTTAACTTTAGGCGATAATCGAAGCACCAGAAAAACAATTGACACTCAATGAGATTTACAATTGGTTTACGAATACATTTTGTTTCTTTCGTAGGAATCATGCTACATGGAAGGTAAGAATCAACCAGAATATCAGCTTATCATCAACAACAATCAACTAATTGCTAAATATAAACATGATTATTTTTTCTCACACACAGAGAGAAAAAAAGTGAATTATATTATTTGTTTGTTTTCTTTGTTTATATTTATCCACCTTAGACAATGAAAGAGATCAAATCATCAACTAGTCATCATTTCTTTTGTTTTTGTTGATTTAATTGTCAGCAATTGTTTCCTCTCCAATCAGCCAATCAATCTGATAGAAAAGCTTTACCAGTTTATGATCAATGGCAACTTTTCATTTCTAATTTCACTTCGACCTCAATTGAAAAACGATTGTCTAACTTTTGTTTATTTTTGCCGTTGTTGTTTCTCAATTGTTATTGATAAAAATGAGTTAAAATTATGTTTAGATGGTGAAATGATCAATAGATATGATATCTTTCTGGAAATTAACTGATAATGATATTGTTTACTATTAATAGAATGAGTTTCTGATGTTGTTGTTCACTTGGGAATTTCTGAGATGTTGATAATTGGTTTGTGATGGGTCACGAAGAGCTTGAAGAGAGGTGAATTCACAATTGTAGGGGTCAAAGGTTGGATTGAAGGTTTCATCACAAATGTCATAATCAGAATAGTGGGATAAACGGTCACTTTCGGCCATGTTTCCTCCTTCTTCAAAATATTCCTCTTCCGATGAAATTGATTCAAAAGGCTCGGGTTCCTGGCTTTCACTGGGTTGCTGATGATTTGCAGGTGAATGAATATAATAGTTGATATTACAAGAATTGTTGACAATTGTGGTTGTTGTTGTCGTTGTATTTGATGTTGGATCTGTAACAATGTTTTCTGGTAGATTGTTGATATTACTTGATGGAAGATTATCTTCTGGTTCACCGTCACCTGATTCAATATCATCCAAATTTTCGTCTTCAGAAATACTTTCAGCCCAATCTGAAAGTGAATATTCAGGAGAAATATACTCTAAAAGATCAGTATTATCTGTTAGAATAGTAATAGAATAATTAATAGAATTATTTTCTATTAAATCTTTGTCATTAGTTTGAGCCCCATAAATGGCATATTCGCATGGCATAACATTTCGCTTACCAAAAACCTTTTCAGGCTCGTTGATTGTTCTTGACGATTTAAGATGAAATAATTATATTGTAATACTTATTTGATTAATTGAATTTTGGCTTTTACACAATAACAGAATGCTGTTCGTCACAATCTAAGTCTCCATAAGTGTTTCATGAGAGTGGAAAATGTTAAAGGTGCTGTTTGGACTGTTGATGAACTCGAGTTTTATAAACGTCGTCCTCAGCGATTACAAGAGAGACTTTCAACTACATCATCATCTTCATCTTCTTCAGGGTAATTAATTCAATATAAATAAGAAATTGATGATCATTTCATGATCATTGGTCTTTTCTATCTTTTATTATTTGACTAATTTCTTGTTCTCTTTTCTCGATTTTTTCAGGCCAAACGGTAGTCATTTAAGTTTGGAAAACATTCGCCAAGTCGTTGGTCTTTCTTCCAAAGGTTCGAACTCAATCGTTGGTGGAGATACAAACCATTCTTTTGGTGCCAGTTTACATACTTCGTTATCTGATAATAGTACAATTCCGCCCTTTCTACAGAACATTGTAAATGGGTCTCTTTCCAGGCCAACTTCCGCTTCTCCACATTCACCTGGTGATAACTATTATAATCCAAACCATAATCTCAATCTTAATTTAAACAATCACCACAATCTTAATCAAAATCAAAATCATCTTCATAATTTCCATGGATTAACAACTACAGCGCCATCATCACATGAAGGAGATGATGATGATGATTTTATGGACGATGGAGCTGATGAGTATAATGATCAAGACGACGATGATGATGAAGTTCGTGATTATGATCGTGATATTGACGATTATGATGGTGATCCTTCAGCCGAAGTACAAGACCTACGAGTGACCATCAATAGAAGCTCATTAATGACCAACAGTGATAACAATATATCCCAACAATCATCTAATCACCATCATCATCATCTTTCACCAGCATCTCAACACCAATCTAATCATCATCAATCATCAAATCACAATTTAAACTCACATATCAAGATGACCAATCAGATGGACACAACGGATGAACAAGAGTCGAATATGAATAAAGACTGTCAAGATATTCTAGATCACAATGAGAACGATTCCGATGAAGAAGATGATACGATTGATATTCGACATTCTAAATTAGAAGGACTTAATTTAGGACTAAAATCCGCGATTAATGAACCAACAGCCCATTGAAACGGTCAAATCGATTCTCTCTTATTGTCATCAGAAAAGTTAACCCAATCAGACTTAAATTGTTCATTTAATTGTTGATCGATTATTCTGGTTTTATTCATTGTCTCATCTAAATTTGTTCATTGATAAGAAAACTTTTCTCCTTAATTACAATCGGAACCAAACAATCAATTTTTATTCTTGGGTCTACATAATACTATCACAATCTCGTGTTTTATTAACAATTGGGAACAACAATCAACAGTTAAATTGTATCACTTTACATAATCATTATCATCTTCATCATCACTACGAATCGCCAATCAACAACAACAAGGAAACAATTAAAATAATAGTCAGAGTCTTGGTTAATTGGGCTCTCTAAATTAATTAACATCACACACACAATTAAAAGGGAAACAAAAGCAAATCCCCAATGATAATCATTGGATTAATTAAATAAACTAATTTATAACAATTAAATTAACCAATTGCCTTTAACTGCACAATTACAACAACAATTAAAACAAAGTTAATTCCCTTTTGCTTTTTTTTTAATTCCAACAATAAATCAATATGGAAATTGGAAAAAATCAAATAAACTTACAACTGATTAATCAATCATTCTCATCAACAATCAATCAACCAATTAACTTTTTTTGTTACCCTTTCCTCCTTATATTATAATAATATACAAATATTATCAATCAATTAATTTGTATCATGATTATTTCATTTTTGATTTGCTGCTTTTCTCAAATGTGTACAACTAAATTAACTATTATTATTACAATCAACCAGTTTTCAACAACTCATTCAATTAGATCAAATAATCTGATACCTGATCTATTTATAATTATCAGATAAACAATGAACATCACATCAACGATAGACAATGAGAATTTTGTTTCGAAAATTAAAAAGAGCAATTAATCGTAACAATTTCATAGGAATTGTTCTACTTCTGTGACTTACCGACAATTAAAGGACAATTAACAAACGTATTAGCATCAGAGTTGATTCACTTTTGGTCACAATTTTGTAAGGTCGACGTAAAGATAGAACTTGGGAATCCAAGATCATTGAGTTTGGATTCGAGTCTATCAAGAGTCTCCTCTGCCAATGTTGGTTTTCGGGATAAAATCCAAGTAATAATTAGTAAAGTGATTAGTTGATTGTTCCAGGATTATAAGATTAATCAATTTCTTAACGTTTTGTAATAATATCATCAAATGTTTTCTAAATTATCTGAGCATTTCTATGAAATCTGTGTAGTTTTTTGTGAATTGACAGTTCTAAGGAATAAAAACTTTGTTGCTCAACTGTTCGTGGAAACTATTATCACGATAGAATTGTTCATTATTATGATTAATCTTCTTGCAAGAGATGATAGTTTGATAAATTTTCTTCTTGCTAAAAATAATAACTAATTGAGGCGAAATCACTGATCAATGATCAAATGAAGACTTTGTATCTGATTAGGATAACTTTTGTTTCTCTTTATCATGATCTATTGAATTACAAATGATCGAAAGTAAATTAATTAACTTTAATTTTAGATTTACTGGTAAATGTATCAAAGAATTAATTGTTCAAACTAATCAGTTAGACTGAATTTCACCTTGGAGATAATTGTGCTGAGAACAATGATTTTGTTTTATCTAGTAACATTTCTAAGAAAATTATCTTTTACTTTGAAATTCAAATGGATATATAAAGAAGAGCAAAATTTTAATTAATCACAATTAACAACTTCACAAATCGACACTGATTCCAAGTGATATTCAAAAAGTTCAATCAATATGAAATTGTTACTTCCCTTGATCGCTCTTAGTCTTGTCTCAAGTATTGAATCAATCAAATCAATTCCGGATGAATATTGTAAGTGATGATCAATGAAATTCAATATCCTTTCTTATTTGTGATTAATTAACTGATGTTTCTATCAACTTGCTAGTTGATCAATTTTTGGAAGATGTAACCTTGGCAACGGTACAATATCATATTGACTGGATAGAAAGCATCAAAGGTAAGTTTTAAATATTGATAATAATTCTATTGATGATAATTGAAACTCTAATTTGATTAATAGGCTGGAAAGAAAATAGTACACTGGAATCTAATGTTATTCACCAAGTCCAAGTTTATATGAAATTTGATGCTGATGATTATAGTTCAAGTAATTAACAGTTGATTAACAATTAGCTAAAAGCCTAATTTAACTGATACAATTTAATTCTATTTAGAATGGGATTATGATCTTAGTATTAAGGCAAATTTAGTTAATTTGGCCAGTAACGTTTTGACCAACGATCTGACTAACGGTGAGTGTTGTTAATATAAATAATTTATATTCAAATTTATTAGTAATGATTGAATATTCCTACGGTCATTAACTTATCAAGATGAAGATAAGTTTGATAATAACAATTTTTACTTTTCCTTTAGTAATAAATTTGAACCAAACTGTTCTGGAAAATGTCCATACCCTGATCAGTGGCTACGTGCTACGGTTACCTTTTTACCTTGGCGAAAACAAAGTTTTAAAAGCGACTCGATTCGTTGCTGGATTGATTAAGCAGCTTGATATTCCAGGTAAGGTTTTAAACTTGTGCAAAAGACTGAGAATAATTTACAACTAATTATCTATTATCTAGATTTGGACGTTAACAAGTCACTTAAAACTAACATCGACTCATTTGTTACCAACGCACTCGCTGGTATTGAAGCATCTACCAATTCGGATAACATGGTCTCTTCTGTGAAGACAATCGTTGAAAATTTCGTTACTAGTGCTCTCAAATTGATCAGATTCAAAGGTAAGGTTATCAAGAATTGATTAACCTTTAATTTAGTAATATTTTAATTCTATTATTAATATATCTCTGTTCTTTTCGGTAAACAGGATATTCATCGCAGGTCAATCTTCATGATAATGCCTACACTTTTCTCCGTATGATTATAAAAAAGTAATGAAGTCTATGGTTAAAACTCTTTCTAAAACCAATAAATCTATTTAATTTTGCAATATCGCACTAATCTTTTTCTTTGTGTTTGGTTGAGAATCGAAAATGTCTGAAATATTTTCCAATCATGTTGTGAATTGGCTCTTAAATCCTTTTAGTATAGAAACAGATCGCGACCGATCGAGAATCAGATAAAACACAACTAAGCTGATCTTTAATTGCAAAATTGCACAAAATTCCGTCGGGTTTGATGATGAAATTATTAATAATCTCGAATACAAATAAACTCTTATCATGATATTATAATAACTCACAGATCAACGGTTGATAGAATTCATCGGAAAACTAATAATGAGCACATATATGATAACATATACACAATATTATCTAATTATAAACACTCATCAAAGGTTTTAGTTGTTAACGTTTACTAAAATTATCTTTTCATTCAATTTAACCTTTAACGCCTTTGATAGAATCAGGTTTTTCCAATAAATAATAAATTATTGACAATCCAATTTTTGCAAGAAAAACAAGATTAAATGTAATCAAGCTTAATTTGATCACAAGCCCATTAGGACCAAAGTCTTATCACAATTTCCGTACAAATAAGTTCATCGTTTTATTTTATCGGAAAAGAAAATTCAACTCAATCAATAATCACAAAAATGGGTTTGAAATGATGGAAGAATTGATTTAGATTGATTAAAAGAGTATATAAAGAAATTAAAAACTTCAGTTTCAATACAACTTAATTTGATTCTCAAACTATTATTCTAATTGTTGTTAATTTACCTCAAAAAATAATCATGAACCGATTGTTAGCAACTCTTTTTGTCTTTATCTTCTCGTCATGTAAGTAAAATAATATTTGATTCTTTTTCTCTGTGGTTTATTAATAACTATTTTATTTTTTAACTATTTCTACATACTCCATTTCTACTGTAGACTATGGTGATGCTCTTTGGAGTGGGTCTAAATTTGGTGATTGGGCGAAAGGAATGAGTTTTGTGAGACTTGCAAGCATGTAATCCAAGAGGGATTAATTGACCTGGTAAAAGCTCGAAATTATTTCGTACCTGGATATAAGGAAGATTGTGACGCATACCCAACTCCTGAAGGATCTTGTGACTCTTACGTTAAAGTATTGGAGACTTCATTTGACCTTCTTATCGAACGACAAAATAAGTCTCAAGAGCTTTGTGCTTATTATGGTCTCTGTGAGTCTAATCTAACTCTTGACATTAGTTTACCAAATATTCCCGTTGCTCCAGTTACATCCAAACAAAATCCTCCTAAAGTCTACAACAACACCATTTGCGCGCAATGTACACGTATTACCGCTGCATTAACTTTCACGGGCATTGGAAATTATGCCGATTCTTTCGCCGCTCGAGCTGAAAATGATTGTTCAATGTGGACGAAAACTGGTCCGGTTTCAACTAAAGAAGATGTCAAAAAGTGCTATGACCTTAACTCGGTTTACTTTAATCCAATCACCGATAATTTAATCGACAAAACCACTCAGAACTATTTGTGTTGGGATCTTTTTGATGTTTGCGAACCATCACAAAAACCAAACGAATTGAAATTACCATACGGCCAAAAATCAACCCATTAACCAATTACCCAATTTTCTGATTACTAGTAAAACAATAATTGATTAATGAGCCTGAAAAATTAATCTAAGATAAAACTATTTGTACTTGGAACGACATAGTCATTGAAATTTATTCCAAAATCAATAAATTTATTTAATTATTTAATACAAGGGAAGCGATAAACATCCCATCAAGTTTAAGATTAGGATTCTCAAGAATATCTTCACAACAGACCAGCAATTTCTTGCTCGTATTTCCAATTACGATAAGTAATCGTGGTTATCAGGAATGTTGTTATAAATAGACCAGCAAGTATACCGGCTATTATTTCCCGTTGATTGTTTTCTGGACCGAAACACTTTGAACCATCAAATCCACACGGCGGCTCATCAACTGGTGGTTTTCCTGAGACCCAAGCAACTTTTTCATGTAAACGGAAAACGGTCTGATTTTTGGTCTCATCGTATTCAAATGAACCCATAGGTAACATTAACTGATGAAAAGTTATATTACGAATTCCCGTTAGATTGATAACAGAACCAGCATTTAGAAGCGACAAAACCGTATAGTTACCCTCAACATCTCCATTTTCATCTATTAACATCCAAGTTCCGGTCACCGATTGATAACGTTTACGAGCAATAATGCGACGAATAACTTCAGTACCATTTCGTGGGCAAACTTTATCCACCAACATGGAAGCCAGAGCTTCAGCGTAAAGCATTACAGCATCGTAAAGGTAGGAAGCAAAAATGGTGATATGTTTTTTCATGTTCATTTCGCCGAAAGGAGTGGGAAAATTGAAAGGTGGTTGACCATTGTAGAATCGAACCTTATCCTCGAAGAAAGAATAATCTTGACCCTTGGTGGTGAAGGAACAATAACCAGGAGAGATCTTGCCGCTTCTAGGGTTGCTCGAACATCATCTTTGGACATTTCACTTCGCCAAATATACTTATATGAATGACTCTCCTCATAAGATTCAAAATCAACATAAATTATCATGTATTCACCATTTTCGAGTAAATTTTTAATCTCCATGACCAGAAGCATTTTGATGAGATCACGAATTCCACCTAGAAACACATAGATTCGTGTACTTTTATGAGTCTCCTCGATAATTGATAGAAAAGGGTTGACACAGCAAGTCTGTTTATCTTCACAACAAGCGAAATAATTTCCAAATGATCTTTCAGAATTAATTTTAAAACGAGCTGATGCAGCTCGATGAGCTAAACTTTTAGCGACAATTGTATATTGAGGTGTTTCTCATATATGATAGAAAATTTCATCCATTTATAATAATCAAGAAGAGCGATTACCGATCTAATAACCTGAGTATCAGGTGGATAGGTACGAGCAAAGGTTGAATAAAAATCTTTCCTGGAAACCTTGGAATCAGCACATTTATAACTAATCATTGGAATCTTAAGTGATGCCGCTATAGTGGCCTCAACATCACATGAATCTTCAGGACCAATAAAACCGATAACACCTTTAGACCATTGATATAACATTGCCGCTGTACTTTTTAAAGTTTCACCAAGGGTATCATTGTAAATGAATTCAAGTCGGGTACCATTAAGAAAACTTGAATTGGAATTGATTTTCTCAATGGCATAGGTAATGGCACCGGAAATGACCAAACCTTGACGTTTAGGATTATCACGACCATAAATGTTGGTTAGATAACCAATTTTAAGAACTGGTTCAACTGGACAATCGGGTGGCCACTCGAAACTTGGGAAAACTGGGCAACTATCATTGGTTGACGATGAAGATGAGGCTTCAATGGTGGTGACATTTCCTGATGGATCAGGTGAAAAATAAGATGATGAAGAAGAAGGAGAATTAATTTGTGATGATGATGATTGTATGGACGACGACGATGATGATGATGATGATGATGATGGTGATGTTGTTAATCGTTGAGAATACAAAGTATTGACACCGTTTCTGTTGTTATGATCAAGTGATTGATGAGGAATAAGATAGTTACTTGATCCAGTTTGTCCATTGGAAACTGTTGATTGTACTGTTGGGAGATTAGTAGAAAGTATTAAAACAAGTAGTAAGGATAACACTCTAGATACTAATTATTGATTATTATAATATAAATCACGTTCATCACTCCTTAAATAAATTGTTTTACAGCCATTTGATTTGAATGAAATACTTTTCTGGTTAAATTTTAGAACCTAAATGTTAACAATATTTGTTGAGTTTAGCTCAAACAATAAATCTGATTTTCTCAAAATTGTCGAGAGATTCGGAAGACCGTTAGAAAGACGAAAAGTGCAGCCAACTTTTGTTGGACTATTTCTGTTAGAGGAAAAGTGCTCTCTTTCTCATGAAGTAATGATCGACCAGGTCATCACAGGTCCGAACCAACAAACGCGCCCAGCGAGGAAAGTATCTTCAACAAAGAGAAAGGGAAAGGGAGTGGGCAATATTCGAATTAAAGAAAGAGAAAATAAGTTTCGAAGCAAAATGAGCTCCGCCGTTTAATAAATTAAAATGAAGTTCTCGTAGATAAAAGATGTATTGGCTCAAAAGTAAATTGGAATCTGTCTATGTTTGCTTGGTCAGATCGCTTATTTTACAATTACCATGATTGACGTTTGAGCATTGATCAGTTAATCTAATCACCAGAAGTATAACCAGCGTGAAATCGTTGCTCAATTTGTTGGATTACATTGTATTCGAGTGAGCTATCAATTTGCCAGCCTAAATTGTAAAAATTAAACTGTTATTAAGCACTTATTGTAACTGCGATCACTAATATAAACTTACCTTGAGTTGTGGTTTCAAAATTGTTAACAAATTCTTTAATGAACTTTTTTACTTCATCAGCTAATTAAATTTATGTGGTGATAGTCATGAAATTATTGAAAGAAAAGATCAATATAAACACAATTAGTTAATCACAGAGTCAGTTTAGTTATTAATGATTTACTTACGTTAACTAAATGAAATAGCTCCAGTGGTTGAAACACAGAGAACGGAAATTAAGAAGAATTAGAGATTCATACCGTAAATACCTGTTATACCCAATAATTGATTTTGGATAAGAATGGTTGAACTTACGGTAAATTATCAAGAAGAATTATTAATAAAATCATTTTATTCCAAGAAAATAAACTATCCAAAACAAATTAGAGAGAGAAAGACGCAGAAAAAAACATACAGCTATGTAAGACGAGCTATCAAATGATTTTACTTTGGACATTCTTACATTACCACCATCACTTGTTATCTTCAATGAAACATCGATATCTAGCTAATCATCAATTGTTCAATTCAATTTATATTAATCTTAAATTTCAATTGATAATTTACCGTAAAGGTTAAATTAGATGACAAGATAATTTTCATTGTTTATAGCAAAATCATCCCTATTTCCAGGAATCAGTGATTGTTTGATTGCAATTAGTTTCTTTGGCTGCAATTTGTTTTTCTTTCACCAGTTTTTGATTAATGAAGGTTCGGCTTATCAAATTATCTCGTAATCTAATTTAACCTTTACGGTAAATTATCAGAAAAGCTATTGATAAAATCATCTTTTTCCAAGAAAAATAAATTATCTACAATTTTTATTTGATAAACAAAAGTAAAACCATTTATCTTACACGAGAAAATTGGGTTTATCAATAATTTATAATCAATTAATTATTATGTAGATTTGGATTTTAATAAGACACTAATTGTTTGATTATGATTATTAATAGTTTCTGTGATTGGAATTATGTTTTTCATTCATGATACCGATCACTGATTAATGAAGATTAGTTTATCAGTCAGAATATCAGTAAATGATTGTCCTTGCTAAAATGGGCATGGTTTGGGTCATATCTTGTTTGATAATAAAATAATCCAGTTATATAAAAGGGCTATTCTTTGGACCATGTCACTCATAATTAATGTTTAATTGTTATTAGTCAATATAAAACTTTTGATAACTAATTAACTATACAAATCAAAATGAATTTCTCATTCTTCTTGATTTCCGTTTTCTGTGTTTCCGCCATTGTAGCCGCTCCATTTGGCAACCGTAAGTAAATCATCAATAACTAAACTGACTCTGTGATTAACTAATTGTGTTACTATTGATCTTTTTTTCAATGAATTTCATGACTCTCATCTTATGATTTCAATTAGCTGATGATGTAAAAAAGTTCGTTAAAGAATTTGTTAACAATTTTGAAACCACAACTCAAGGTAAGTTTATATTAGTGATCAAAGTTACAATAAATTTTAATTAACAGTTTAATTTTGACGATTTAGGCTGGCAAATTGATAGTTCACTCGAAAACAATGTAATCCAACAGATTGAACAACGATTCCACGATGGATATACTCCTGGTAATTAACAATTAATTGATAGTTAAGGTTAATTGATCTTACATGAGATTATTCAAAATTTATTCTGATATCTTTAGACTGGAATTCTGAGCTAAGTGATAAAGAAAATCTTGTTAATTTAATTATCAAGTATGGTAGAGATCAAGACGCTTCATATCCAGGTAAATACTTATTCATTCATACATTCTTATCTAATGTTTAACTTTTCTTGCTCAACCAATTTACCTTTAGGAATGACCTTAGATTCAAGTCTCTCTGAATTTATTAGAGTCATACCCAGAAACCTCACTCCTAACAAGTTAACTGAGCATCAAGTACAGGTAGTTGCTCACATTATTTTTGATACAATCCTTAAACTCGACGTTCGAGGTAATTATCGGGATTTTCTCAATGGATTAAAAGTCAATGACATGACATGAACGAAAAAATATTCTTTTATCTGATAATAGGTTTGAATGTTTTTAAATCTCTTCGAATTAACATCGAAACAATAGTCACTAATTCTATCGACAAAGAATCACAGAAGTCAAATTTTGCCGTTTTGAAAACTACACCAAAAGAGATAATTATTGATGCCGCTATAATTGCTCTTAATCTAATACAATTCGAAGGTAAAATCGCAATAATAATCACTAGTGAGTAAATAACAATGATATTACTGTTTCTTTGTACATTCTAGGATACTCATCGGAATCAACTCTACATGATAATGTCAATACTTTTCTTGATAAATTTTATTAAACTGAACGGATAAATCGATACCTAAATAATGAATAAACTTTAATTTAATTTGCATAATCCAGTTGTCACTTTTTGAAATTATTTTAACCTTTGAAACCTCTGAATGGAGATGTTGATGATGGTCTGAGTGGTAAGTTTAATATAAGCTCATCACCATATCACTACATTGGTGAATTTATATTAAGCTAATCAACCTAATACAGAAAGAAATCAAATTGTGATTAACTTCAATATCTTATCGAAACTTCATAGATAAGACAATTCATAGATAAATGGTTTAGTTGATTGTGTGCGCGAGTGATTAGGGCAAAGTGGCAAGTCCTTAGTTGATTTTTCGAGGATTATAAGATTAATCAATTGCTCTGAGCTGAGGCAAAAATCTTCTACATGTGACCGGTTATACTGTATGCTATTAGTGATGAAGTTTCCGTTTGGTTTCTCATCAACAATTAACTTCGTTTTTGAGAGAGGAAAGAGAAAGAGTAATCTTTTCAATCTAAGCTGAACTGAATTTCTTTCTAAACGTTTTGTAATAATATTATCAAATGCTATCTAAATTGTAATATGAGCGTTTCTATGAAATCTGTGATAATATGCTCGACAAATCGACTCAGAACTATTTGTGTTGGGATCTTTTCGATGTTTGTGAACCATCGCAAAAACCAAGCGAGTTGAAATTACCATACGAATTACAAAAACTGACCCATTAAATTAATATCCTACCAAACGAAAAAGACTAAACAAAAATAAGCAATAAAAGTCCAGCGATATTTCAAAATTGGACAAATTTATTGATTTTGTGATTAATTTAAATGATCATTTCGTTGATTAGTCAGGCAGTTTTGCCTCAGATTCATTTTTTTACAATATCATAAACGCACCTTGGCGTTTAGGATTATCACGACCATAAATGTTGGTTAGATAACCAATTTTAAGAACTGGTTCAACTGGACAATCGGGTGGCCAATCGAAACTTGGGAAAACTGGGCAACTATCATTGGTTGACGATGAAGATGATGGTGATGTTGTTAATCGTTGAGAATACAAAGTATTGACACCGTTTCTGTTGTTATGATCAAGTGATTGATGAGGAATAAGATAGTTACTTGATCCAGTTTGTCAATTGGAAACTGTTGATTGTACTGTTGGGAGATTAGTAGAAAGTATTAAAACAAGTAGTAAGGACAAGGTTAAGTTAATTGTGAATAACTTGTTGATTGTCCTCATTAAGTATCTATCATGATTAAAGGTAAATTTTTCTCGATAATATTGATATGGATGGGAAATTAATCTTATAGATGGTTCGATGTTGTGAGTTTTTTTTTCTTTTGTTAATCTTTTGATTGTTAACTGTTCTTCTTTTAATATTGGTAATTTCAAGTTGATTGTATCTTTTGAGGTGCTGATTATGGTGGCGGGAATGGTTTGTATTGTGGTAATGGTGGTGGCAGCAATTAATTGATGATGATGTTGTTGTTGTTGTTGTTGTTGTTGATTTAGTTGAGATGAGTTGTGAATTTTTTTCTGTTGATAACCTGTTGAGTTTATTGATTCTCTGTTTATAAAGGTAATAATTTCTTGATTTGCAATTGTATTGTTGTCCATTGGAGACCTTGATGTTAATTGCTGTTGACTCTTTTCTAAATTGACACTGTTTATTGATGACTTTTGATACTGTTGAGGTATTGGTAGGGATAAAGGTGGAAATTGAGGTGTTGATTGTTGATAAAGTTCTGGGTATAAGGTTGATGATTGAGTTACTGTGGTGTAGGTAAACATTTAAAGGCATCTTGAAGTAGGTGAGTTATTAATTGAGGCAGAGGTGTTGTTGTTATAATTACTATTATTGCTATGATGACGATGATTATTATTATTATTAAAACCGATGGTGGAACTTGTTGATAATGAAAGATAGGTAGAAACTCGAACATTCATTTCTAATGGAATAGACTTTTGATTAACTAAATTTCTGAATGTGACCAGGCGAAATGAGAACTTGACGAAGGAAACATGACCTCAAGTCCATATCCCTAGATAGAAACATATTTAGTTCAAAAGCTTTTGTCGATGGATCATAACAAGAACTGAAATTTTACAAAAAAAAATCACGACGAAAAATTTCGTTCAGTTTGAGTGTTATAATCTAAATTTAAAAAACAAAAAACTTCGATCACCGATTGCGGCCTAATCAGAATTTTTAGAACTTTTCATAAAGGTAAGAAAGTTTTTATTGAATAATCTATTTAAAACAATTGTTAGTTTCGTGTTTCATAGAGGTAGATTTTAGGGTTAACATGCCCCTTTTATTAATTAACTGAAAGAAATATTAATAATTGTAGAGATATTAATTGAAGTGGCCAGTAAACGTATTAAAATGATGTGAAAAGCGTTGATTTACTTTTGGTCACAATTTTGTAAGGTTGACGTAAGGATGGAACTTGGGAATCCAAGATCATTGAGTTTGGATTCGAGTCTATCAAGAGTCTCCTCGGCCAATGTTGGTTTTCGTGATAAAATCCAAGCATCCTCTGTAATTAGTAAAGTAATTAGTTAATTAAGCCAATTTTACAAGATTAGAAGGCTAACCAGGTAGCTCGATACTTACTTATATTAACAAGTCCAAAGACAGGGTTACATGAGACAACTAATGAATAGTTTGTGTAGTCGGTGTCAACTACCCAATATTGGGCTGATGGTGATACTGAAAATGAGATTTAATTGATTGGTTTAAATATTATTGAAAAAGCAATTTAGCCCGAAAATATTGTCATCAGTTAATTGTTACACTTACATGGGAAGAATTTGACTTCGAAAACGTTTGATTGTGAAGTGGGTTTCGCAGTACCAACACTGAAGACCTCGATATCAGCCAAGACTCCGCTGTTGTTAACGGCAACATTGTTGTTAGAATCTAATTTGTAATTAGCTTTGACACATCTTTGGCCAAACTCGAAGACAAAGTTAGTTCGCTTGATTTCGTACCAGTCACCAAGATACTAAAAGGTAATATAAAAGAGAATTATTATAATATAATTGAAACGGTTGAAATAGTTTTGCAAAAAGTTTTCTTAAAATTTGAATACTTACAGATTTTACATCGAATGGAGCATCGAGTTCAGTGGTTTTTGGACACTTTTTAAGCCAGAAACTTGAGCCGATTTTTGGTATTTTCTCAAAAGATGTTGAAGGAATGCCAAGATGCTCATGGAAGAGGCAATGACAAATAAACATACGAAAACTAGTTGATTCATTGTTATTAATCGGAGCTGATTGGGTTACGATCAAGCTTAAAAATGAAACTTTAGAATTGCTTTTTCTGTTCAATTGAAACTAAAATTGATGATTTATTTCAACCCAATCATTACCTTTTTATACTGGAAAAAGTTATTGATTTTGTCACTTATCAAAGTCCTGAGCTCACCATGAGCTTAATCAATTGGATTTGATTGTTTGATTAGATTGAAACTGTTCACAATTGTCTTTGAATAGTGAAATCTAATCAGAAGGGTTAATCAACAGATTCCGAGTCCAAGTTGTGTGACAAACATCGTAAACAAAAGCCTCATATTAGGTTCTGACCGAGTACATTGATTAATCTTTTGATTCGTTTACATACAACTATTAATATTTAAATCAATTATTTACAATCATGATAGAGTTAGCGAAATATTCAAATTTGTTGACTCTCATTGCTGATTAAATTGTTGCATACGATCTTTTCAATTGTTTTCGTAAAATGTAGAAGTAAACTGAAAGTGGTCCTAAAATAATGGAGTTTGTCGATGACGATTCAGAAATTGATCTGAAAATAGACGAGGAAGCCGATACTGTTGACATTGATGATCCATTTGATATAATAGACAAATCGTTTTATTAATAGTTGAACCAGTTTAGTTGTTTTTTCAACTCTTTCCAATTAACATGATCGACGTTTGATCATTGATTACTTGATGCATCATTACCTTCAAGTAGTGTATCTAGATCGGGACATTTAGCATCGGTGTTTAGTCGAGTACCTAAAATATCCGCAACCATTTTTCTAATCATGTTGTGTTTAACACTAAACTCTTTTTGATAGTCAAGTTGTCCACAATATTGTCAGACTCGGTAAAGAAAATAATCTCGATTTTTAATAAACGCCTGTCTTGTTATGATAATTTAGAGATCAACGATTGATAGAATTCATTGGAAATCTTATAATTAACACATATACGATAACATATACACAATATTATCTATTAATAATGATAATAATTATAAATACTTATCAAAGATTTCAATTGTTTTGCATCAATGTTAACAGTCACTCAAATTATCTTGTAATCTAATTTAACCTTTACAGTAAATTATCAGAAAAGCTATTGATGAAATCATTTTTTCCAAGAAAAATAAATTATCTAAAATTTTATTTGATAAACAAGAGTGAAATCATTTATTCATCACAAGCAAACTGGGTTTATCAATAATTTACAATCAATCAATAATTATGTAGATTTGGATTTTAATAAGACACTAATTGTTTGATTATGATTATTAATAGTTTCTGTGATTGGAATTATGTTTTTCATTCATGATACCGATCACTAATTAATGAAGATTAAGTTAATCAATCAGAATATCAGTAAATAGTTGTCCTTGCTAAAATGGGCATGGTTTGGGTCATATCTTGTTTGATAATAAACTAATCCAGTTATATAAAAGGGCTATTCTTTGGACCATTTCAATCATAATTAATGTTTAATTGTTATTAGTCAATATAAAACTTTCGATAACTAATTAACCATACAAATCAATATGAATTTCTCATTCTTCTTGATTTCCGTTCTCTGTGTTTCAACCATTGGAGCTGCTCCATTTGGCAACCGTAAGTAAATCATCAATAACTAAACTGACTCTGTGATTAACTAATTGTGTTACTATTGATCTTTTTTTCAATGAATTTCATGACTCTCATCTTATGATTTCAATTAGCTGATGATGTAAAAAAGTTCGTTAAAGAATTTGTTAACAATTTTGAAACCACAACTCAAGGTAAGTTTATATTAGTGATCAAAGTTACAATAAATGTTAATTTTCACAATTTAGGCTGGAAAATTGATAGTTCACTCGAACACAATGTAATCCAACAAATTGAACAACGATTTGATGATGGATATACTCCTGGTAATTAAGAATTTATTTCAAGTTAAGGGCAATCGATCTTACGTGAGATTTATCAAATATTATTCTGATATTTTCAGACTGGAATCCTCAGCTAAGTGATAAGGAGAATCTTGTCAATTTAATTATCAATTACGGTAGAGATCAAGACCTCCCATATCCAGGTAAATAATGATTAATACACACATTTTCCTTGCGTTTTTACCTGTTCTTATTCAACAAATTTACCTTTAGGAATAACTCAAAACTCAACTCTCTACGAAGTTATTGAAGTTATACCAAAATATTTCCCTATTATCGAGTTAACCGACGAACAAGCAGCGCTAGTTGCTCAAGTTATTATTGATGTAATCGTTCAACTCCAAATTCGAGGTAATTATCGAGATTTTTATGATCAACTAATTATAAAGATATAATAAAAGAATAATTATCTTTTTTTATAACAGGTCTGAACGTATATAAACCTCTTCGAGTTAACGTCGAAACAATTGTCGCTAATTCTATTGATGAAAAATCAGAGAAGACAAACTCAGGAGTTTTGGAAGCTTCATTTGAAGAGGTAATCACCAATGCCGCTATAAATGCTCTTAAGTTATTCCAATTCGAAGGTAAGACCCGATTAATTATCACTAGTGAGTGAAAATAACAATTTAATTGTTTCTTTGTACATTCTAGGATACTCATCGGAATCAACTCTACATGATAATGTCAATACTTTTCTTGATGAATTTTCTTATTAAAACTGAACGGATAAATCGATATCTAAATAATGAATAAACTTTAATTTAACTTTCATGATTGAATGTCACTTTTTGAAATTATTGTAACTTTTACAATTTACATTTTCTTACTTTCTAGCATGATGAGCTTTAGATATGATTGTTGAGAGGAAAGGCTCGAGACTTTGACGTTGAAATGAAAGTTTTGACAGATAATTCGAGAACAGAAGCGAAAGAAAATAAAAAAATTGGCCAATACAATTTGATTGAAATAGCAAGAAAATGATTCAAGAATTATACAATTTCCATGTTACTGCTGAACTTTTACATACAAGGATCTTAACTAAATTAGTTAAAATTGAGTTTTCTAAACAATGTTCATTTAACTCCATCTCTTTTTTCAATCTTCGAGTGAAAGCGCGAGTTTTGATTCTATTGGAATTTTCCACCAACTTATCTACTCTCTGTAATAGTAATTCAGTTATTATTGTCTCGTAGAGTAAAAGCTCTGTGAGTTATTCAAACGAAATTGACCAATATAAAGATAACTAACTTAAGAGTGTGATAGTCAATTCAAAGTTCAGAATGAACTTGAATCAACTCTCAATTCCTATGCAATATTAACTCATAAGCAAAGTTCAGGTAGCGACCATGAGACAGATTATAATAAACTAATTATAAGTAAATGAGCTAACTAATTATTACCCTTGCCCGCAGATTTTATTATTACCCGTAATAATCAACAAACACTCAATTTTTACTGATAATAATTCGTAAATTTTGAGTATATTTGCAGGGAGACTCTTACGAGAACGATAAATTCACCTTAACAAACTACATAAAAAGAAATCAAGTCAAATTTCAAACTAGTCACAATTAAACTACTAGATAATTCATCATTTGAAGTTATTCAAGTTAAAAGTTCTGATCAACATGAACGTGTTACTTATAATTACTTTCATCTCAGCGATTGGAGCCGCTTCAATTGGAAATGGTAAGCGATCAATGCAATTACAAATCTCTTGTTCCTTATGATTTACTAATTGCAATTCCTCACACATTTATAGCCCAACAACAAATTAGTCATGAAGGCATAGCGTATATCCAATACGCTGTATATCTAGTGGAGCATCTTGAAGGTAAATTGATTTGGATAAAATTGTAAACTTTTCTTTGCGATTAATTTTTACAACGAATTGATGAATATTTAAATTCTCATTTGAATTACAGGCTGGGTGTTTGATGGTTCACTTGAATCAAATGTTATCCGACAATATGACAGGCAATTTGCCGCTGGTTATGCTCCAGGTAATTAACAATCAATTGATAATAACTGAGAAATCATTTAACCCATTTCATTTACTTCACTTTAGAATGGGATTTTAAACTGAGCAACGAGGAGAACCTTAAAAATTGTGCTGCCAGAACTTTCAACAAACATTATCGTAAATATTTAAATTCAATGGTTTTAATTATACTGTACAAAAAAATCCACAATTAACAATTAATTTTCTTCTAATAGTTAATCTAAGCTGGTCAGTTTACGAAAACATTTACGCTGGGATTGAAATTTTAACTCGAATGGTTAACCTCGAAAAGGAAAAAGTATTAGGAGCTACTAGAACTATTATTGATGTGATTAATCTACTCGATATTCCAGGTAAGTTATTCAACTCATTTTGAAGGCTAATCAATAATACACAATCAATTAATTATTATCTAGATCTGGATGTTAACAAGTCACTTAAAACAAACATCGACTCTTTCGTTGCCCACGGAGTCGCTGGTATTGAAGCATCTTCCGAACCAGATTTCACAAGATCGCCCGTTCAGGCTATTGTTGAAGATTTCGTTACTAGTGCTCTCAAATTGGTCAGATTCAAAGGTATAGTTCTGAAGAATTGATAAAAATTCATGAAGTATTAATATTTCAATTACAATTGTTTTTCTCCGTTCATATCAACAGGATATTCAACAAATGCCACTCTCCATGCTAATGTCAATAATTTACTCAATGAACTTGAACGAAATGTTAAAAATGAATCTGATGCAAAACTGTCTGACTAATCAACGAAATGATCATTTAAACTAATCATAAAATCAATAAATTTGTTTAATTTTGCAATATCATTTGACTTTTCTTGCTTATTTTTGTTTAGTCTTATTTTACAATTTAATATAACTGTTATTATTGTTAGAGACAATGAGAATGAAAAAAAAGTAAATCAAGCTAATTAACTGATACAATACAATTAATCATTCTTATGTGAATCTTATCGACGATTCTATCGACAAAGAATCAGAGAAGGCAAATTTAGGAGTTTCGGAAGCTTCGGCGGAAGAGTTGATCGTCAATTGCGCTATAAAAGCTCTTAATCTAATACAATTCGATCTCATTAATAATCACTAGTGAGGTCAAAATAATAATTTAATTGTTCCTTTGTTCTTGCTAGGATATTCATCGGAATCAACTCTACATGATAATGCCAATACTTTTTTTGATGAATTTTCTTATTAAACTAAACGGATAAATCGATATCTAAATAATGAATAAACTTTAATTTAATTTGCATAATCAAATTGTCATTTACTGATATTTTGACTTTTGAAACCTCTGTAAATGAAGATTATGATGATTGTACGAGTGATCAGTTGATTATAAATCAGTTAATCATTATAAATTAACCTGATATTTATCTATGTAATTACCTGATAAGTTGTATTATGCTCTGAATTTACATGTAGATTCGCATCACAATTGGTATATTTTTTAAAGTTTTTCTTGTTTGATTAACAATTTATTCAATTTGATTGTTGTCCATTTGTTTCTTATATCATTTATTGAGTATAAGAGTTAATCTAATTAAACTATTCTCAAGCAATTTAAAGACCTATTCAAATATTTTAATCTGTGATATATGCAAATCAGTTAACCTCAAAAAATAATTGATACGATTGCAAAATCCAGCAATTAACTATTAATAATTATAATAGTATTATTGTTTTGTTAATTGAATCAGAAAAAAAAAATAAATCAATAAACATGTTATCATATTATTAATATAATTAAATGACATTGGTTTAACCTTTCCCGCATTGATGGCATTAGTTATTATCAACTTTTAATATCAATGAACAATTTAATATTAATCCAGTTCTTCTTGAATCAACAACAAATTGATTGTGTAAAAAGTAAAACAATTAATTAATCATGTTCTTAACTAAGTTTTTGATTACCTTTGGATTAATAACAATTGCAATTACCGATCAATCAGTAAATGAACAATTGCCAACTGATTTAGTTAATGATTTAATGAAAATCGCTCAACGAATCGCCGGTGATCAGGAAAATATTTTCAAATTAACCAAACAATTAAAGGAGTTTGCTGCTGGTAATCCTGTTGCCCAACAATTGAGCTCTAATCAACGAGGTGAGTAATTAATGATGATTTGAGATGAGATTAAATTTCTTAATCAACTAACTGTTTCTTTCCCATTGATCAGCCATTGAACTTGGTAATAAAAATCGCTTAACCCTAAGGGCACCAGAATCAAATCAAATTGGTGGTAATCCATTGGTCACTTTACAGAGTCGCATCAACGCCTTTTTTGATTCCATGAATCAATTGTTTGATAACATGAGACATATTCTTGAACGATTTCCTGTTCCGGAAGACACTGACATCGACCCATTGAAAGCGTTACAAACACTAGAGCAACAATTTAAATCTATGTTATCAGGATTACGAGTTGACCAGAACGAGACTTTAATTGCTGATGTTGATCAGCAACTAATCAGACCATCAGAAAATGATAACAATCAAATTCAAATTTAAATCTCGAATTTGTCTTAATATTAATCAACTTTTTCTTTCTTGATTCAATCTTTATTTCTTCCAATAATTTTAAGCTCTCTTTCTCTCTGTATCCATGATAATTAAATAGTCTCAAAGAAATTTCCAATTATCCAATGATTAATTTAAATTGTTTCATTTTCCAAAATTTAATTCAATTCAATTTCGTTCAAATTTTCGTTTCCAATCACTAGATGGCGCCAACATCTTAATTACTTTTCTTTAATAATTAATTGTTATTGAGTCTTAATTGTTTGATTTACTTACTATGTTGTAAAGTGATGATAACAATCAAATAATTTTGTGGGATAATTGATTGGAAATCATAATATTTCAAGGTTTTGTATTAATAGTTGATTCAATTTCTTTTCCTGTTGATAATTAGTAAACTGATGGAGCAATTAGTTGATTGTTCCAGGATAGACATCGGACTACTTTTAAAGTAATCATTGTGTATAGTGATTAGTTAAATTATCCTTAAATTGAGCTAATGTTGAAAGCTTTTAAGGTAAACTCAAGGACCGAAGTATTTTTCACTTAGACTTTGATTGTTGCCATTTTCTAACTAATCAAGTTGGTAAAAAAAGGGATTGGACTGAATTAGATTCTGTCCAATCCTAGGATAATTGTAGTAGTTTATCTTGATTGTAACCAGAATAATTAAATGATGAACGGTATGAACTTGGAAACTCAAGATTAAAATAATAATCATTAAGTCTAGTGAGTTAACGACGGTAGTTTATCATTTTAGGAAGTCAATCTATCCCCATAATCTAATTGTGATTGATTGAGTTCAATGTAAATCGCTACAATTTAAGTGAAGTTGATCCATTTCTTGACAATTAAGCGGCCTCTAAATTGGTATATTTAAATGCTGCCATAAGCCTAACTGCACATAAATGATTCCAAGCTTAAAAAGAAATGGTTAATGTGAGGTCAACCTAATGGATTAGGGAGAGATTAAGCTGATAGTCAACTTGAAGGGAGGAAAGTGTAAAGGTTATTAAGATGGTGAGGAGAGAGAGAGAGAGAAAGAGAGAAAGATGAAAACAAAACGGAACAAATTTCCAATAAAATGAGTCCAAACGCTCACTCAGTATAGAAAATACCAAGACTCATGAATAAGAAGTACCAAAGATTAAGAAGATGACGTTTTCTTAAGTAATTTTAAAGGATTAACTGGATAATCAAATGATACGAAATAACAACTTGACCATGAACTTGATTGAATCGCCATTAACCGTTTTGTCATGTAAAAAGTAATCAGACCAAAAGAGTAGCACGTTAAATGAATTTGGGTTAACAGTTTGTTTTGAAAAGAGAAAAGAACAAAAAATCAAAATCAAAATGGTTGATTAGAAAGAGAGACAAACACAAGTAAGAGATCAAAGGATTAATATAGAAAAAGAAAGAAAATTAGATTTACCTGTTGAGAGAATGGTAATTGTTGATGTTAAATATAAAAGATCAATCTAATTGTGATTATCGCTGATGATGGAAATTAATTAACTTGAAACGTTATATGTTGGAAACAAATTTTCCTCAATGTTTTGCTTTTCGTTACCAGTGAATATGAGATTACCTTGAGGAGAGAAAGAGAATTGCAAGATAAATAGAAAGAGAAAAAACAAAAGAAAGAGAATTAAAAAAATGTCGACATAATAGAGAGAGAGAGAGAGAGAGAGAGATAAAACACGAGGAAGACACGAAGAGAAGATGAAGATGATGATGAGAGAGAGAGAAGAAAATGAAGTAAAATTCAAATGAGAAGAATTTTTATTTTTAGTGAGAATATAAAAGAAAGAGAAAAAGAGAAAGTAGACAGAGAAGAAGAAAAAATAATAGAAAGAGAAAAAGAGAATCTGTTTTTTCCCTTTTCCTTTTTTTCTTCTCTCTTCCTGATTCTCTTTTTTCTCTTCTCTCTCTTTTATATTCTCCCTCCCCCAACATTCTCTCTTTCATCTTCTTCTATCTTTTGGTGTCGCTTCTCATGAGAGAAAAAGAAGAGAAAAAAAAAGTAAGAGGAAAAGAGAATCAAAGTTATTGAAGAACTTGGTGCAAAACAAAGTTTTCTCTTCATCATCACCATCACATCTTCATCTTGGTTACTTTTATTTTCTCATCTTTTTCCCTTTTTTTTAATATTCTTTTCATCATCATCATCATCACAACCAGAGGTTACAAGCATTTACCTGTGTGGCTAATTGTGTTTCCATTTCTGTGTCACCACCAATTCGGTCACTAAATTTACCATCAAGATCATCAAGTTAACTGTCTTTTGACGTTATTTTTTTCTCTCTCTCACTTACCTGTCTCTCTCTCTCTCTCTCTCTCTCTCTCTCTCTCACACACACACACACAAATTTTGTTGTGGTTGTTTTTTTACCTGTTGACGGTTTACTTTTTCTGGTGTTTCTGTGTAAATCAACAGTTTATTTATCATCACTGTTTCTCTATCTCATTTAGTTGCTATGTTATCAACAATTCTTAGCTAATTGATACTTAATATTGGCTTTTTTTTTGCTTATCTTTTGTTTATACCTTTTGGTGTTTTCTTTTGCCTGTAGATTGTTGTTAATCATCATCACCATCAGAACATGAAAGTGATTCATTTTTTGTTCTATTCTCTTTTTTTTCTCAATATTTGGCTTTGAATAATTACATCTCATCTTCTTTAATCAACCACAATCTGCAAAAGATTCATCTCCGGAATTTAATGATTAGTTGTTAACCCAATAAGTGGAAGATACAACAACCACAACTACAACAATCTACTTGTTGATGCAGATACATTATAATTGCTGTTAATCATTTAAGTGCATCATCATCATCATTGATCATTTTATGTTTCAATTTTTCACTCAATATAATTATTACCACTATTCAAAAGTGATTCCTTCTAATTGTTTACATATTGATTGTTACAAGATTGTGGTTGTAATTAGCGGAATAAACAATTATTACTACAATTGTTTATTAGATTGGTGGCAAAGTGAATATTTTTTTTATTCTAATTTCGGTTATCATCATCATCTTACCAATTTTTGCTCTTGTTATTTGACTACGCGTCAAGTTACCATCATTATCATCATTACCATTACTATTATAATAATTTGTAACATCTCTGTTTCTTTCAGCAACACTATCAACATCTTAATTGTTATCTATCTTTCATCAACAACAAGTTCCACCATCGGTTTTAATAATAATAATAATCATCGTCATCATAGCAATAATAGTAATTATAACAACAACACCTCTGCCTCAATTAATAACTCACCTACTTCAAGATGCCTTTAAATGTTTACCTACACCACAGTAACTCAATCATCAACCTTATACCCAGAACTTTATCAACAATCAACACCTCAATTTCCACCTTTATCCCTACCAATACCTCAACAGTATCAAAAGTCATCAATAAACAGTGTCAATTTAGAAAAGAGTCAACAGCAATTAACATCAAGGTCTCCAATGGACAACAATACAATTGCAAATCAAGAAATTATTACCTTTATAAACAGAGAATCAATAAACTCAACAGGTTATCAACAGAAAAAAATTCACAACTCATCTCAACTAAATCAACAACAACAACAACAACACCAATTAATTGCTGCCACCACTATTACCACAATACAAACCATTCCCGCCACCATAATCAGCACCTCAAAAGATACAATCAACTTGAAATTACCAATATTAAAAGAAGAACAGTTAACAATCAAAAGATTAACAAAAGAAAAAAAAACTCACAACATCGAACCATCTATAAGATTAATTTCCCATCCATATCAATATTATCGAGAAAAATTTACCTTTAATCATGATAGATACTTAATGAGGACAATCAACAAGTTATTCACAATTAACTTAACCTTGTCCTTACTACTTGTTTTAATACTTTCTACTAATCTCCCAACAGTACAATCAACAGTTTCCAATGGACAAACTGGATCAAGTAACTATCTTATTCCTCATCAATCACTTGATCATAACAACAGAAACGGTGTCAATACTTTGTATTCTCAACGATTAACAACATCACCATCATCATCATCATCATCATCATCATCGTCGTCGTCCATACAATCATCATCATCACAAATTAATTCTCCTTCTTCTTCATCATCTTATTTTTCACCTGATCCATCAGGAAATGTCACCACCATTGAAGCCTCATCTTCATCGTCAACCAATGATAGTTGCCCAGTTTTCCCAAGTTTCGAGTGGCCACCCGATTGTCCAGTTGAACCAGTTCTTAAAATTGGTTATCTAACCAACATTTATGGTCGTGATAATCCTAAACGTCAAGGTTTGGTCATTTCCGGTGCCATTACCTATGCCATTGAGAAAATCAATTCCAATTCAAGTTTTCTTAATGGTACCCGACTTGAATTCATTTACAATGATACCCTTGGTGAAACTTTAAAAAGTACAGCGGCAATGTTATATCAATGGTCTAAAGGTGTTATCGGTTTTATTGGTCCTGAAGATTCATGTGATGTTGAGGCCACTATAGCGGCATCACTTAAGATTCCAATGATTAGTTATAAATGTGCTGATTCCAAGGTTTCTAGGAAAGATTTTTATTCAACCTTTGCTCGTACCTATCCACCTGATACTCAGGTTATTAGATCGGTAATCGCTCTTCTTGATTATTATAAATGGATGAAATTTTCTATCATATATGAGGAAACACCTCAATATACAATTGTCGCTAAAAGTTTAGCTCATCGAGCTGCATCAGCTCGTTTTAAAATTAATTCTGAAAGATCATTTGGAAATTATTTCGCTTGTTGTGAAGATAAACAGACTTGCTGTGTCAACCCTTTTCTATCAATTATCGAGGAGACTCATAAAAGTACACGAATCTATGTGTTTCTAGGTGGAATTCGTGATCTCATCAAAATGCTTCTGGTCATGGAGATTAAAAATTTACTCGAAAATGGTGAATACATGATAATTTATGTTGATTTTGAATCTTATGAGGAGAGTCATTCATATAAGTATATTTGGCGAAGTGAAATGTCCAAAGATGATGTTCGAGCAACCCTAGAAGCGGCAAGATCTCTCCTGGTTATTGTTCCTTCACCACCAAGGGGTCAAGATTATTCTTTCTTCGAGGATAAGGTTCGATTCTACAATGGTCAACCACCTTTCAATTTTCCCACTCCTTTCGGCGAAATGAACATGAAAAAACATATCACCATTTTTGCTTCCTACCTTTACGATGCTGTAATGCTTTACGCTGAAGCTCTGGCTTCCATGTTGGTGGATAAAGTTTGCCCACGAAATGGTACTGAAGTTATTCGTCGCATTATTGCTCGTAAACGTTATCAATCGGTGACCGGAACTTGGATGTTAATAGATGAAAATGGAGATGTTGAGGGTAACTATACGGTTTTGTCGCTTCTAAATGCTGGTTCTGTTATCAATCTAACGGGAATTCGTAATATAACTTTTCATCAGTTAATGTTACCTATGGGTTCATTTGAATACGATGAGACCAAAAATCAGACCGTTTTCCGTTTACATGAAAAAGTTGCTTGGGTCTCAGGAAAACCACCAGTTGATGAGCCGCCGTGTGGATTTGATGGTTCAAAGTGTTTCGGTCCAGAAAACAATCAACGGGAAATAATAGCCGGTATACTTGCTGGTCTATTTATAACAACATTCCTGATAACCACGATTACTTATCGTAATTGGAAATACGAGCAAGAAATTGCTGGTCTGTTGTGGAAAATTCAACTTCGTGAATTAAATTTATACTACAATGAATCAAGTCCACTTTCCGCTTCTCGAGCATCTTTTGGTTCGGTTGTTTCTGGTGAGTCTCGATTGTTACATCAAGTTTACACTCAAACGGCAATTTATCGGGGAACCATGGTGGCCGTTAAAGAGTTACGATTTAGTCGTAAATCAATTGACCTTCCCAGAGAAATTAAGAAAGAGATGAAACTTTTGAAGGAGATACATCATGATAAAATTAATCCATTTATCGGCGCTTACATTGAACCAAATTGTGTCTACATAGTTACCGAATATTGTGCCAAAGGTAGTCTACAGGATATTCTTGAGAATCCTAATCTTAAACTTGATGGGATGTTTATCGCTTCCCTTGTTTTTGACCTTATCTCAGCGATGATTTACCTTCACGAGTCGGACATTAAAGTTCATGGTAATCTTAAATCGACCAATTGTCTGATAACATCTCGATGGGTTCTACAGGTAACCGATTTTGGTCTTCATCAGTTACGTAAATCAGCTGATCAGGGATCAACCGACAGTTCGGAAAACTATTATCGCTCATTGTTGTACACTTCACCTGAACTATTAAGAGAACCTCAGGTCAAAGGAACACAAAAAAGTGATGTCTATGCATTTGCGATTATCTTACATGAGATAATTGTTCGTGAAGGTCCATTTAACCTTAATTCACCGGAAAACAAATTTACCGCCTGTGATATTATTGCCAAAGTGACCCGACAACCCGCCGGTGTTGATGAGGATTCTCCCTTTCGACCTAACATTCAAGTGGTCCTTCAATGTCAAGAGTATATAATCAATACGATGAAAGACTGTTGGTCCGAGTATTCCGATTATCGACCTGATTTTCGCTCCATCCGAACCCGCCTTAAAAAGATGCGCGTTGGTTTAAAGGCCAACATAATGGATAATATGATGGCCATGATGGAAAAGTATGCCAATAATTTAGAGGAATTAGTTGAAGAAAGAACAGAACAATTAGCTGAAGAGAAAAAGAAAACGGAATCACTTTTAGATCGTATGTTACCCAAATCGGTGGCCGCTCAATTGGTCAGAGGTGAATGTGTTATCCCTGAAACTTTTGATGCAGTGACCATATTTTTCAGTGACATCGTTGGATTTACTGCAATGTCCGCTGAATCCACACCCATGGAAGTGGTCACTTTTCTCAATGATTTGTATACTCTATTTGACTCCATTATAACCAATTATGATGTCTATAAGGTTGAAACCATAGGTGATGCTTATATGGTGGTCAGTGGACTTCCCATAAGAAATGGTGATAAACATGCATCTGAAATCGCCTCAATGGCATTGGAATTACTTGATTCGGTTAAAGCATTCAGAATTCACCATAGATCAGATGAAACACTTCAACTAAGAATCGGGATCCATACAGGTAACTATTTATTACAATTTCATTTAATCAATGATTACAAACTACTAACCAGAGTAAAGATGATGTTAATTGTATTCGAAAATTTGACAATTTATCAATTAGAGACCAGTGAAAGTGAAAGTGAAAGCATTTGTTTGGTGATCAATTAATTTATTCCACTAATTGCTGGATTTAATTTTTTTTAAAAATCAAACAATCTAGTCTAATACAATATAGTAGTAACATCATGTCAACAAAAATCAGTTGATTGTTGTGAATTACAGCAATTTACGGTCACCTCACATTCACACACATAATTAAAAGTGCTACAGATTTCAATCAGTTTTGACAATCAGTTACTAAAGTCTTAAAATCTTCCTTGGTGATTAAGCTTGATAATCAAAAAAGTTAATCTACTAATTGTTAATTACATTTAAGTTATTAATAAATGATTAACCGTGAAAATATCGCAATATCAAATCATTAATAGCAGTAAACACGGATTAAATTAGAAAAAAACATCATTCCCATTTACAAATGGCATAATAATTAAATCATATTTCCCCAACTATTTAATTGTTGATAGTTTCCGGCTTTTGTTTCATTCTGTATTCAATTGCTTACATATGAATAATTAATTATAACCTGAAACCATTTCCCTTTTACTTAATAACAATTATTAATGATAATATTATTACTGTTGACATGATTGATGTTAATAGTTACCTTGTTGTTATTATTATTTTTTTTGTTCATCAACAATATATAATTTACAAGGGTAACAAGTATGTTAAATTAATCAACTATTAACTAACTGAGATGAGTTAATTGTAAGACGATAACCTTGTCACTCCTTAAACTATTGATGATTTTACGGAACTAATTTGATTCATTATTGTTATGTATTAATAATATTGTGAATTCAACAGTAAACCAATTGAAATAATTGATCAACTAGAGTTTAAATGATTAAGGTAATCATGTTTAACCATAAGTTTGATTATATTATAACGATATCACTTAACAATCGTTAGCAATTAACTAATGATCATTTTCTGTTTACCTGTTTTATGTATAAACCAAGTACTTGTTGAGAGGTTTCTTATTTTATCAGCAGTGGATTAGTTAATTGTTAATTGTTGGCGTGCTAGTAATTCAATTGCTTTTTTTTGATAGAAAAGAGGAAGTGGTGATTATAATTAAGAGAGTTTAAATTTCCCAAAATAATACAGTTGATGGAAAGAGAAAAGACTTAAATTGTTATCCAATTGCAATCTAATAAGTATCAACCTTTTGATTAACCTAAATAATTGATTATTTGATGTTAATCATCTGTTAGATTGTTAGTTGCTATTTTCCATTCATTCTGTTCTCAATCAATTACCTTATCATATTTTTTTGATTACAATTAAGTAGATATTTAATTTTTCCATGCATTTAGAGTACAACAAATCTGAGCAACAATTGAGATCATCTTAAATTATGATAATCATTAAATGTTTGTACTTTTCACTCACGCAAACATCAAGCAAATCATTGATCATCTGAGTGATTAAGATTATTTTTCAATCATAATTAGGTTTAACCAACAAAATGATAACCTATGTGAGCTTTTTGATTCTGATTGATCATCTCACTTGAATATCTATCTACAAATCTAAACAATCAATACCAATCAAGTTGTTGTTATTCATTAGATTTTGTAATCATCAATGTTCATATAATTGCACAATTGGTTAATTATTATTGTACATATCCTTAAAATACAGAATAATCATAAGTTAATCCTAAAAATAAATCGTAATCCTGAAAAATTTAGAGGTCATTTCTCATCGGACTACCAGAAAAATACTCTAAACTTAAACTTCAGTGAGTTAATTAATTTAAAATTCACGAAATCAAGTACGAATCAAAATCCTCTATTTAATCATTGAGGCCATTCAAATGACCTTCTAAGTTAATAATAATAATCTCAAGTCTCTCAAACTCATGGTACCAAGAAAATTGATTATAAAATAGCGGATTAGTATTGTATAATATATCTTTGCATCCAATTGTAATTAATTGTTAATTTGTCTCTCTCAATGTTGACTTGAAATGAAAAAACGAAAAATCGAAATACGAAAATCGTTAATCCAAATGGGATATTGGGGTTGTTATATTTTCTGTGATTAACTTAATCGTTATACTTTCAGTAATCATTTGTGACCCAGTGTGATATAAACAATAGGTTAATTTTATTTACAAGCTAATTTACTTTACCTTTAATTAACTATCTTGTTAATTGTTACTTCAATCAAAAACCATAGCAATTATACTGGTACATCTATTAATAATACTATCATTTATTTATGTAGATTTACCCAAATGAAATTGAATGATTGAATAATACTCTTATGGGAATTGATTAATCACAATTAGACTTATATATTGTGTTATCGATAAATTAATATAACAAAAATTGACACAATCAATTGTCATTTTCAATGATTTAGTTGATATATAATTTTAATCATGATTGTTAGAGAAACACACCAAATCCAATTTCAGTTGATCCTCAACAATTTAGCTCAAGGATTGATGGTGACAAACTTGATAATAATAATGATATAACATCTCAAGTGTAACTCATATTATCATGATAGTGATGATGATGATGATGATCATCATCATCATCATCATGATCCAATGTTCATTAAATTTTTTTTTGAACAACATCAACTTGAAAAATAAATATATCAAAAAAAGTAATCATTGTTTACATCTTGAGGGCTTATTATCATCATGATAAATCATTTCATGATGATATTGAATTTACTCACAAAATGTTAGTTACAATTTAATATGTTTTGGTCAACAATCAACTTGATGATAATATTATTATCCACTACTAGAGTTTGATGTAAACTACCCCACCCATTTCTGAGTAAATATTGAAGCTATTGAACATTTCGTTGAATTTTGAACATGCGATAAACTCATGATGATGAATTTTCATGATAAATTATATAAAACTTTCTGCAATTTAAATCAATTCTTGGTCACAACTATGTTAATTACTTTTTCCTTTTGCGAAAAGTGTTTACTACTAATTCTTGGCTGATTAGTTTAAAGAGCTTAATCAACAAGGTTGACATGATTGATTTTATTACGACAATTAGATTGTAAAATTGTTCAATTTGATTGGTGATTACTGATTAGTTTTTCTTTATGGTCAAACTAATTTTAACAATACAATTTGTTGTTGTTATTGATTTGATGTTGACATTGGATAGATTGATAAGAGAAAATGTTGATTGTTGATGTATGATTAGTGAAGTAAAAATAATGTTGATTGTTGACAAAATAGAAAATCAATTCTAATTGTTTAGTTAACTATTTTGCTTGATAATCTATTTTTTTGAGATGGAAATAGGAAATGACTTTAATCTCTTACCTTGATGATGTTTTCTCCTCACATTATTATTATTATTATTTTTCCTCAGAATTAATTGTCATCACAATTCAATCGATTAAATTATAATTATTTTGATTCCATGAATTCAATCATGATGAGAATTAAATTGTTGACAATTGATTGGTAATTTCCAGGCTTAAATTACTTTACTCTTGTTACCGTTAACTTTTTTAACTTTTCTTAATGATTGTTAACCTATTTTTGGATCAATCTTTTTGATTTCAGTTAATCACTTTTTCTCATTGTTAATAGTAAACAATTTAATTTACTTGATAATCAATGGTCATCACAACCATATCATCATTTTATCATCATCATCATCAACTTCATCAATTTAATGATTAAATCCATCAACCATATAATCAATTATGGTTTGTTGATGATGAGTAAATAATCAACAGTTACAACAATTTAAATAAAACTTAATCAATTGCTACTCATTGTTATTTATTATGACATGTTAATTGTCAATCTTAATAGTTAGTTTTGCTCAACGATTTATTTAATTGTCATCATATTTCTTTCCTTATTCAATAATAACATTATATAATTATCATCTCTTGATTATCAAGATAAATGTTAGTAAAAAAAAATAAACGGACGAAAGTGAATTAACCTTGAAATTGTTAATTAACTAATAACCTTGTTAAATCAACTCTTGCCTTCTTGATTGTTAACAGTTAATAAATTGTTAACTGGACAATAAGTATGTTTGTGTTAATATAATAATACTTGAAATAGATTTTGTCTTAATTGTTCAACCTTGACATGATTTTCATAATAATAATCACCAATTTATTTATACAAATTAGTGACTCTTTTTCCCAAAAACTTTTCATCATTTGAATTTAAATTGTTATTACATCAAATCGACCTACAAAAGTTGTAGTAACAATTTAAATAGACTCACAATTAATATTTACCATTGATTTAAAAGGTAAATGATTAGACATTTAAATGGGTGCGTCTTTTATTTATAATAATTGTTTATATCATGTCTTTACACTCATTGTTACATATTAGATGTTTTAATCAATTGACCATTTGCAATTAATTAAGAATCAGTAAAAAAGTGGATTTTAAGAGAGAGAGAGAGAGAAGCTTGCTTTTTTGTCTAGTTGATTGTTGAAAAAAAGAGATGAAAAAATAACAATCATCGAAATGGTTGTCAGGTAATTGAAATTGATTGAGCTTGAATATTATTTTTTTTGTTGGTGTTTCTTCATGATAATTGTTATTGTTTTTAAGGTTTTCAGTGAATCGAATCAGTATTTGTTGTTTACATCAGTATATGGACCTTTCAGAGGGAGAGAGAGAAAGGAAGACAATTTTTTTTGTATCTTCTTTCTTATTGTCCATTATAATTGATGTGTTTCTCATCGCTTTTTGTTGTTCAAAGGTGGGCCAGGAAATCGTTTTTGTTTTCCAATAAGAAGATTCAAGGATGATGATTATGCTCAATATTCATGGAAGATATAAAACTGGATCAGTAGATTTAGAATTAGTTTCCAAGTTGGACATGAGACGATTATCATATCGTTGTTTGCATTTAGTAGAAGGAAAAAAGTTACAAAAAAGACAAGAGAGGAAAAGGAGAAAGAGCTTGAAGCTCAATTAGTTGATTTTCAGGCAGCTCAAAGATTCAGAATTGTATTAGAAAAAAAGAATCTGTTTTCTTATGAAAAAAAAAGCAATTAAGAAAAAGCAAGAAAAATTCAGTAGTAGCAAAATTTTGTGCAAAAGGGACTGAAAAGACTGTCGTAGTAATGATTTAAGCGTAAATTATGTATATTTGTTTTGTTTTGAAAGTGAGTTTTTTTGTGTGTGTAAATAGGTTTGCATTAAAATTGCAAAAGGTGGGTCAGGATGATTGTTGTCATATGATAAGTGATGGAAAAGTGGATCGTTTTTTTTTTGTCAACTCAATGTACTTTTATAAGCAGATGAGAGGATGAAGGTGGATGAGAATGGAGATAAAAATGTCATGGATGTTTCAGGTCATGTTGAAGATTGGTTTTTTTGAGTAAGTGAATTTAGAAGAGCGTCAATTAGAGAGAGAAAGATGAGTTTTATGATGAATGATGATGTATTTGTGTTGATTTGATTTAAAATTGATTCGGTTTTGAAAGAGTTGAATCAATTTTAGAATCAAATTCTGGGTTTATAAGCAAGTGTTGGTGAAACGTCCATGTCTGTACATATGATGGGTGATGATATTGATGGATGACCTGGTAATGATGATGTCCCTGTTGATGACCCGGTAGTTGGACCACCTAGTACACTTTGTGCCGGGGAGGTTGAATCACAGACCATTATGCTTGGGGGTCCGCTTTTGTTACCATTTTCTTTATCTTTTTTGGATGAGCTTCGACGAACTAATCTTTTCTCTTTGGATGATGTTCGTCTCATTACTCCTCCACCGGACCCTGAGTTTTTACCATTTGATTTAATGGTTGACGTTGATGAAGAAAGTGGATTTGGATTAAGAGGTGATGATAGGGCTGACGATGAACTTGGAGGTAGTTCAGTTTCACCAGGATTAAGAAACCATTCAGAACGAGTTTTCATTCTTTGGGTTTGACGTTCGTGTACAATTGGAAGAAATGATAAAGATTTTGTACTTTCCGCATAACGATTAACCTGTCGAAGTTGCTCTAAGTTTAAGCTGTCATCTTCGTGCTAGAAGAGAGAAAAAGATGAGAGAAAAAAAAATAATGAGAAAAGGATGGAATAAGAATAAGAGAAAAAGGAGAAAAACAAAAACGAAAACATGATTAGTCTGCAAGCGATTTAGCAAAACTAATGATAAGAAATTTCAATTTTTCGATCAACATTAACATTATTGTATATCAATCATCATTATCATCATTGAGATAATATTAATTAATTATCTATTTCCTCTCTCTCTCTTTCTCTCTATTAACTTTTCAACAATAGGTCCAGTTGTTGCTGGTGTAGTTGGATCAACGATGCCACGATATTGTTTATTTGGTGATACCGTTAACACTGCTTCCCGAATGGAGTCCAATGGAGAGGCGTTGAAAATTCATATTAGTCCACATTGTCGGGATCATTTGACAAAATTAGGCGGATATTTAATTGAGGAAAGAGGTTATGTCAAGCTCAAAGGGAAAGGTGAAATATTAACCTACTGGCTAGTCGGTCATATTGACGGGATTCAAGCTCGTCGTGATGTTTCTGGAAGTCAAAATGAATACAGCAGTCAACCTACAGGATTATTTGCTGAATTAACATGAGAAAGAAACAAAAAAAAAGAAAATTTGACCAATCAACAATCAATGATGACAAATTTATATAAAGATAAACAAAAAATGATAATTATATTGAGAGAAAAAAACAAATAACTGATTAAATGTTCTGTAAAAACAATTACTCTCAGAATCAGAGTAATCATTTTTCATTTGATTGTATCAAGAAAACATGTACAATTATCATGAATGCTTCCCTTTTCTCACTCTAAAATTATTGATTGTCATTTGAATAGCTGATGATTTGAACTGATGGAGGTGTTGATGATGATGATGATTACGAGACTAGGATGGGAAAAAAGAGTTAACAAAATTGAGTTAAGTAGATTACTATGAAAGAGTAGGATATCTAAATAGTGTAAATATTAAAAAGAATTAGATAAACAAATAGTGACAACAATTTATCTAAATTAATGATCATGATCTGTTTCTAGTGTGTATCTTAATGGTAAAACATTAAAACATGGGAGTTTTAATGGCGATCCCTTAGAAAGTGTAAAAAAGCAAACGCCCTGGTGATCATTTTATTTCTTCTCCAGAATCATCATCATTTTCAGCACCTTTTTCTTGCTGACTCTCTCTCTCTCTCTCCCTCCTTCTTACTTTTCTTGAGACTCATCATCTTTTTTCTTCCTCTTCCTTCTTATCTTCTCATCTATGGTGTAGCTATACATTTAAATATCTCTGCAATTGAGAAACGTTCAAATTTTAAATAGTTCCCTGATAATGTATGAAAGAGAAACACACCAAGATTAGATTGTTAAGAAAAGTTGGAAATAGTTGAAAACGAGGTTTACTAGAAAAAGACTGAGAGGAGGATGAGAGAGTAGGAAAATATTTTGATAATCATGATGATAATAACCATCAGTGATTAACCAGAAAGAGAAGCTATGAACAACTTTCAATAAAGGTCAGTTTCGTTCAAATTGGAAAATTTGGAAAGAAAACAAATTAATGAGGAAGAAGCCAGAGCAGAGAGAGAGAGAGATGGTGATGATGAGAGGAGATTCAGAAGGATGAATCAAGGTGCGACTCAGAACAATAGAGGCTAAGCGGGGCGTTGAATATGAATAAAAATGGCTAAATAGAACGGGCTGATAAATAAAAAGGCTCATCAGTCATTTTAAGAGGGCGATTAGAGAGAATATAACAAAAAATGTAACATCCTATTCCAATTGAGTGAAAATCTACCTTTGTTTTCATCATAATCTCTACTGCCACGTGGTTGGGATAATCTAGGATAAATATCAGATCATCATTTCTATTGGATATTTTTAGCAAACTAAATTTTCATGTGGATGAGCTGATGAAAAGATAGATTATGATCTACTTGAGCCGGTTTACTACACACCGTTAATGAATGAAGTATCTAAATGGAAAGAGAGGAGAGGAGAGAGAGAGAGAGAGAGAGAGAGAGAGAGGGATAATATGAATGAGATACTGTACTAATTAGTGATTTTGTGTGTGTATGTGTGTGAAACGATTGATTAATTAAACTGATTTCAAACCATGAAGACAAGTTTATTTGTTTAGTTTCGCTTTCTGGTGAAATCAGGAAATCGTAGTAATTTGTATCAAGGAAACTTCGTAATCAAAAAATGATATTTTCTCTATTTTGATTGTTAGTTATGTATCTTCATCTCTCTCTCTCTTTTCAAATACACTATCCTAAAATGGGAGAGAGGAAATGAAAGCAAAGTGATATGTTGGTAAAAATGAAGATTCAGTTTGTAGAAGGAGATGAAATGGAAAATAAGGAGAAGGAGGAGAAAATTGTCTTCTCTCTCTCTCTTAGTTACTCTCTCTCTCTCTCTCTCTCTCTCTCTCTCTCTCTCTCTCTCTTCTTAAAAACAACAACCTTTGATGGTTGCCAAAAAAAGGGAAGAAGATGAAGAAAAAAAGCTCTTCTCTTTATCTCGGTCACTGAATGATAACACAAAACACTCACACACAAAAACCTAATCTAATGTTAACCAAAAAGATGTAGAAGGACATCAAAGTAATTGTTGATTAGAGCGAATTGAAGTTAATTATGAAGAAAAAAAAAGATTAACAATCGAACGAAATTCGTCCTTGTATAAATATGAAGACAATCAATTTGATCCATCAAAACACCAACCAACTTGATTAAAGTCAACAATAAGTGATTGAGAGGAAAAGGAGAGGTGGTGATGATAATGACGATGATATGGTTTAGTTGCTGTTGTTGTTGTTGTTATTGGTAATGTTAATGTTGAAGATTGCGAGAGATGATGAGATATATAAAATTTGTACCAGTCGTCGTTGCCTTATGAACTTGTTTTCTTGTTTTCTTCCTTACCTCTTGCATATCTTGTGATTCATGCATTAAATGTTGAGGATAGTGATGGTGATAGATGGGTGATGATGTGGTGATTATGGTTGGTGATGTTGTTGCTGTTGATGGATTTGACTTGGTTGTTTTAACCTGAAATCATTGGTGTTGATTGTTGAGTGTTATCAACATCATTTAGATGACCAGGTAAAAATGCAAAATGAAGGGGAAAAAATGAAAGAAAAGGTCAGTAATGTTTGAAATATAAGTGATATATAAATAAGGATGACGAGATTGGTATTGAGGAGGAAGATACGATGAATATGATAAGGATGATGATGAAGCTTATGATCACTTGAAAATGATAATATTTTGTTGCTTCTTTTTTATATTAATGGCTAATGATAGTTGTGTTAATGCCTCTAATCATTGATAAGTTATCACTTGATTATCATAGTTGTAATTGATGTTTATGTTTTTTATTAACACTACTAATACTTTAATCGGAATTATAAGTTGCTATTAAATATCTTATATATATCAATGATTACAAGATTAATGCAATTTATAGTTGCTTTTGTTTTTTGCTTCTTTTTGTTGGTATTTAGAAAAGAAATACAAAATATACTTTAAATAACCAATACTTCAATTAATCCAATTCTCAACATATATGTCATAATATTAAAAATTTAATGATCAACCAACTATTTGAATATATACATTATGTATATATTGTAATGAAAAAAATAATAATAATAAATCAATCACTTAATTTGGTAATAGTATTAAATTACAACTATTATTATTCAAATCATCAGTAATATCATTTTGTGATGTGAGATCGTAGATGATAAGTTTGTTTTTCTCAATGAAAATTAAAAATTTAAACAAGAAAAACAAAGTTAACCTGAAATAATCATTTATCTACAGAGTGACATGCAATTATAATCGTTACTTTAATTGCAAGCTAAGATTGTTTTTCTATTGCATAAGAGAGAGAGAGAGAGAGAGAGAGTCAATCTGTATGCTGTTACTGTTGTAAGATTGTTGTTGGTTAATTTAATCGATGATTTAAGAGTAAGAGTGAGAATTGCAAAGTAATTGCAATTTGGAAATTAAACTACATGATGATGATTAGGATGACGGAGGAGAAACAACAAGAAAAAAACAACAAGCAGGTAAAGAGAAACACAAAGTAAAGGTAAACAACAAAAGGTAAGGTTAATTATGAATACCTTGAAAAAATTTTCCTCCAGTGACATGCTTAAACGAGCATAAACATCATCAGCAAGAATTGCTCCTTTGTCAACAGCTTTACAAGCAGATGATGAAACCTCGGATGAGGATGAAGGACAGAGAGTAGGTGTACTTTGACATTCTTCACAGGAAGATATTGCTAAGAAAGAGGAAGATGAGATGATAAAAGGTTAGAGATTAGTATCTTTAATGTGTAGATTTAAAGTATTAGGAGATGATGCAAAGTGTTTGAATTAAAAAAAAAAAGTTAAAGGGTTTGGTCAATCCAATGTTAATTTAGTTAAGTGTAAGTCAATGAATGCAATTAAGATTTTTATATAAACAACTTTCAACTGGTAACAACTATTGTCACAAATTATTATATTCAATTTAAATGAATAATTGAGATGGATGATAAATCTTATTTGTATGATAGATTAATAGTAATTTGTTTTAATAAATTAATGATTTTAAGACAAAGAGATTGTGATAAAATCAACTTCAATTTCAAATTAAATTCATTACACAATTTATTCATCATGATTTAATTGTGTGTGTGTGTGTGTGCTCAGTTCATCATCTTCATCCTTCATACCTGTTCAAGGTAAATTTGTCTTCACATTTTTAAGATAGAAGAGATTGAGAAAGAGAAGAAGATGAAGATGAAGATGAAGATGATGATTCTTCGTTTGATGAACTGCAAAAAAGTGGCAACTGTTGGTTTCCATCAACAAAATACTGAGGCGGATTTCTGAAAATACTTGGCTTTAAGAGGGTTAATGGCTAATTTTGTTGGCTCAGGTTGGGTTATTATCATCAGGATGGGCATTACGTGGCAAGAAGATAGAGAAAGAGAGAGAGAGAGAGCAATAGAAAGAGAAGATAAGATGAAAAGAAAGAGTTAAACAGAGCGTGTTGTTGGTAACTAAGGTCCCTTTTCTATTGAATTTTTCATCATCTTTCTTTATTTTATCTACTTTTACATTGCTCCCTTCATCTTTTCTCTCTCTCTCTCTCCCTCATTTCTTTCACTGATTTGATCGATGATGATAATGGAAAGAAGAAAAGGAAAAATGGCTTTTTTGTTGCTCATTTTTTGGGCCTTATCCGTTGCTATTCAAAGCACTAGAAGCACCATCATTATGATCATGGTATTGTTCATGAAAATGATGTTCTTCAAACTAAATTAACAATTGGAGTGGAACGGGAGAGTTGAATTAACCAGTAATTGCGATAAAGTAGTTTTTCTTTTCATAATACTCACGAGTTACAAATGAATCTGGAGGGTATTTAAAGGCGAAAATCCAATTTTCTTCAACTTTCAATACTCGTCCACTAATTCTTGCATAATACTCATAATTTTCACGACCAAAGAGATTAGAGACACCGAAATTGTCAATCAGGAATTTCATTACATTAGTAGCAATCTAAAAGTGAGAGATAAATGATAAGGAAGAGAAATTTAAATTGATCAGTAAATTGAATTGTAATACAATCATGATTATGGTGATAAAAAAAAACAACAATATATTAAAACGTTTAGGAGGAAAAATAAATAAAAAAACCATTGAATTATTATCATGATCAATAAAAATATTGACGATTCTACCAGCTGAGTGACAAGATAGCGGAAGAGGAAAAGGGAGAGAGAAAAAGTTTTAAAAATGATGAGGCTAATGGAATCAACAACAATCATGATTGTTATCCAGAGAGAGAGAGAGAGAGAGAGAGAGAGAGAGATTATGATGAAGATAAATACTGATTACGATTAACTGATGAATAAAAAGACTAACAATAAAGGTTGATGGTGAGTTGAGATACACATCAATTGTCAGAATCATGGTGAGAATCAGCATCAAGAGGGAATCCGTTCATCATAATTGTCCATAATTTAAAATCTACTAAGCTACTACTTAATTGGTGAATAGCCTTTGCCATTTAAATTACAATTAAAACGGTGAAAGAGTTAAATTGTAATCATAAAATACAAACTAAATTTCCATTTAACTGATATTTAATGTACAATTGTTTCAGATTATATCCTGGAGTGAGGTGAAGATGAGCTACAAAAACCAGATAAGGTTATTATCACAGGGAGAGACAACTTATTAGAATGATTAAGAACTGTTGTGAAATCGATAAATGACCTTAAATGTAGCGGTCAGTCCAGGTAACACAATCAATATGTTAAAATGATAAAGGCCGGTAAACCCGTTCATTATAATTACTATTATGATGATTGTCTAATTGACAGAAAGGAAAAGTGGAAACTTGTTTTGTTGGCCTATGGCCTCATAAGTGATTGGACATGTAGCTTAACTAATCAATTTGGAAAACTAATCTTCTCGTTAATCATTTTCATCATTTCTTCTTTTTTCTCTTCCTTCTCTCAGAGGAGTTAAAGATGATTAGAAAAAAATGATGAAGATGATGAAAGTGAAGAGAGATTGGTTACTGTTTCACAATCAGATATAAAAGGATTGTTAGGCCAATCAGCTACCACAGTTTAGATAAATAGACAAGTAGTGAAACAAATACAGAAAACGATTGATATTGATTCTCAATCTTTATCAACTATAATAATATAAGTTTTTGATTGGTACCAAAAAAAAACAACGATTTCAATTGTAGTGACTAATAATCAACAATTAATCATGAATCTTAAAGTGTTGATCGTGTTAATGATAACGTGTATAGTGATGTGTTTGGGACGTGATTCATATGAATCGCCGACAACTTATTACAACAGGAAAAGTTCACGACGATCGGGTATTTATGGAGGTGGTAAAACAACAGCAAGAGATAGAGGGACAAGGTACATGGGCAGTTATCCAGGTGAAAGTGGTGGATATGGAGTACGAGGAGGTTATGGTGGAAGTGGAAGTGGATCATCTTATGGGGTAGGTAAAACCTTTGCTACAGGATATGGTGGTTTTGATACTCCATCTTTAAATGGTGTTGGAGTTAGTAGCTACAATCCTGGTTACATTGGTGGTGGTGGTGTTGGAAGAGGTAGAGGTAAGACTAGTGGTCGAGGAAGAGGTGGCAATAAGGGTGCAAGTGGAGGTGTTGGTACTGCTGGTCGAAAGTATCCACCAGTTATACAAAGAAAAACACCAACATCGGGAAAAGGAATCAGTACTACAGTTCAACGAAAAATGGGCTACAGGCAAAGAAACTATTGAAACTAATTTGATCTAAAAATTAAAAGTTCTAACTAAATTATTATCATCATATTGGAGACACTAAATAACAATCATGTAAACAGTAGGCTATTTTTTCTCCCTCTCTCTCTCTCCTTACTCACTCTAAACGTTGAATGTACCTTTATAATATTTATACACCTTGTAACAAAAAAGTAAACAATATAAGTGAAAGAAAAAAAAGGTGGATGATCAACAGAAAAAACTAATACATTCTAATGATTCCATTATTTACATTTTTCTAAAACATATATAAATTTTTTTTCTCTATCATTTCATCCTATTCTTTTTTTTTCTGTAATTATCATCAACTTAATATCAGAAAAGAACATAAATTATCAAAAGTTTTTCATCATTGAGAGAGGGGAAAAAAAGAAGGAGAAAAGAGGAGTATTGGGAGAAACTCAAACATTTGAACAAAGATAATAAAGGAACAAGAACAATAACTCTCAATGGTAAAGGATAAAGAGAAAGAATGATAAATTTAGAATAGAATAGTTTTTGTTTTCTTTTACCTTGTATCGACGAACATCTTCCATTTTAGCGATTTTACATCCATCGGAGCTACAACTGTGAAGGAAAGAGGGAGCAACGGAAACTCCTAAAGCTTCACTTGTCATCCCTGTTTTGGCTTTGGAACTTGTACTGGCTATCGCTCTGAATGTTCCAAAAAGAAGAACCAATAGATGCTGATTAACTGGAGGTAGAGATGATATTAGTCGGTGAATCTCTTCTCTTATCCATTCTGTGTCTTCTTTTTCAATTATCTCGAAAAGTCGAGATTCAGCTTCATGTCCGAAAATACCATCAGGAAGTTTTCGTAGGAATTTTTTTAAAACAGATGCAATAGTATAAACACTAAAATTGTCAATATTAACTAAACGTCCTGTTTGAAGGAAATGGATCAACTTTTTCATATTAGCTTGATGACCTGGTGCTCTGAAGACATCTTTCTTATAAGGACCTTCTTTGTTCAATTTTAATATGAGTATTAATAAAGGTCCTGGAATATCATCATGGATACAGCACACTTCATCTAAAGGTACTCCAAATTTTACTCTGAAAAGAGAACAATAAGAAAATAGAGAAGAAAAATTTTAGAAATTAAATGAGAAGAAGAAAAAAGAGTAAAATAAACGATAGAAGGACAGATATAGAGAGCGAGAGAGAGAGAGAGAGAGAGAGAGAGAGAGAGAGAGAGAGAGAAATAGATGATAGAAGAAAAAAACGACAGAAAAAGGAAAAGAATTCTTTCTTCAAAAAGAAAGAGAGAAAGAAAGAAAAAATAAGAGAGAGATAGAGAGAGGGAAAAGGATAAATAAAGTATAGAGAGAATAGAATAAAATTTAAATAAATTAAACTTACCTTTCAATGTAATAATTATGATTGCATAAAGGTAAAATTCTACTCAACATGGTTGATGCACTGATGATAGAACAAAACTATCAACACTTTAATCAAAGAGAATTGTCAGAATAAGAAGTTTAGAATATAATAAAAAATAAAAAAAAGGAACAATATTTAAACTCGGCAAAGAAAAGCCCCAAATGAGTCACTAGAATTGGAAATCACTTCGATTGTTTCGTTTTTCTCTTCTAATTCAATTGTTGTTTCTTAAACTCTATCCTATGGTAACCATACTAATTAAATATAAAAAAACAAACAATTACAAGTAAAGATTAATTAGTCCATCAACACATGGAATATTTTGGATTAATTTGATTTTAATTCAAAAGAATTGAATTGAAGAAAAATGAATCAAGAAAGAAAAACAAAAACATCTCACTCTGGGCGAGTCCCGATATCGAATCCCAATCCCATCGATTATCTTTTCCATCGAATTCAACGCCATCTAGTGGGAAGAATAATTTAAATTCTATTCTCTTTTTTGTTCTCTAACATTTGATTTCTTTTTGTATCTGAATTTAATTCTACTTTAATTAAATTGATTAACTTTCTGTTGTTTAGATAATTACGAATGATAAATTTAGTGATTGGAAAAGAGTCTTAATTGTCAAGTGAATTTATTTTATTTAGAAGACGAAAAAGAAAAAATTTCTCAAAGAATTTACTATTCGTTATTAGTAGAAAGTCCCTTTTGATTTTTCTCATTTTTCTCATTTTTGTTGACTAATTGTGTCTAAATTTTTGTAATCTCATTTGTGTTAATTGTTTTTGTCACAATTTTGATTTTGGATTAATTGTCATTCCGGTTAATTAAGGTAAGAGATTTTTTAACTGTTTTCCATCATTTGGTTAGTTTACTTGTTGTTGGCATTTTTGTTCTCATTTTGTTTCCTGTTTTGTAAGATTTTGATTCTCAATTAGATTTTCATTGTTGTTACTTTGCAGATTTTATTATGGCTTTACAAGAGTTACTTCATTTAGAAAGAAATCCAACTTTTGGTCGAACTAATCTTGGTGATGATGATTCAATTAAAGATGATATTGAAGAAATTACTGGTAAGGAATTGGTCCAATTACCTATTGCTCCATTTACCATGAACAAAAATGTTCAAATACGAGATGGTGTTTCTGGAAGACAGATTAACATTCACATGGAAAAAGGTACAACCACCCTTTCCTTCAAGTATCAAGGTGGAATTGTCATCGCTGTTGATTCTAGGGCTACTGGTGGAAATTTCATCTTCTCTGGAACAGTTAAGAAAATTATTGAAATAAACAAATATCTTCTCGGAACAATGGCTGGTGGTGCTGCTGATTGTTCATATTGGCATCGTGCTCTTACTGTTAGATGTCGTATGTATGAGCTTCGTAACAAGGAAAGGATTTCAGTAGCTGCGAGTAAAATATTATCCAATATTCTTTACAATTATAAAGGGTAAGAAAATGATAAATGTCAATGTTTTCCTTGCATTCTATTAGATTTGACAATAACAATTTTCATTTGTCTCCTTTAGAATGGGTCTCTCAATGGGAACCATGATCATCGGTTGGGATAAGAAAGGACCTGGTTTATATTATGTTGATGATTCTGGATTAAGATACTCTGGTGACACTTTCGCTGCTGGATCTGGTTCACCTTATGCTATTGGTGTCATTGATACTCATTGGAAACACGATTTAACCGATGAGGAAGCCTATGAATTAGGACGGCGAGCAATTTATCAAGCCACTTATCGTGATAATGCCTCTGGTGGAGTTGTTAGAGGTGAGATAATTAACTCAAAATTTATTTATCAATTGTCTCTAAATCAATTACTAATTTTTTCCACTATTATTTTGTCTCCTTAAAGTTTATTCAATGAAACCAAATGGATGGGTAAAGATTACCGAAGAGGATTGTAAGGATTTACACTATAGATATGCTGATGAGAAGATGATTTAAAAACAATGATTACAATTAAATCACCAATGTTTTCTAACCAGATTAAAGATGATAATGAGTATCTTTATCAAATTTACACATTACAGAAAATGGAGTTAATTTTGTTTCTTCAAATATAATAAGACAAAATTGTCTTGTTTTATTGGGGGTTTACATTTACAACCTTGTTTTTTTTGTTTAGTTTTTGATGAAAAGGAACTTGTTTTTTCTTATAAATAATTGAGAATTTGTATACGAATTTATAACTGTTTTTGTGGAATTGTTTTTTTCTCTTTACTCTCCATGAAAATTTATCCTCAATGTGAAGTAATAATTATCCAACTAACCACAAAATAGAAAAGAGCAATCGGATAAAATGCCAAGGTAATTTTATCTTTATCCTGGAATTGGCTTAATATCTTATAACAGGAAAGCGTTGGCCATGCAAAGCAAATTGTTGATCCAATAGCCAATTTAATTATGAACAAAGTGTCACTATCGAAGATAAATTTAAATATATTTAAAAATAATAAACCAACACATGGAGGAGATAAACAGTAGCCAAAAACACAAAGTAATTGAAAAATTGATGGACAAATAGTTTTGGTGTTGCTTATCCGTCTACGAGGATTAGGAGATACAGCCAACATTTTAAAATTAATACTGACAATATAAGAACCGAACCAAATTAAACCAAATAGTTCAGATAATTGTGGACCTAAAAGACAAGAAAGAGAGAGAGAGAGAGAGAGAAATTACAAAATTATGAAACTTGAGATGTTGACAAATATTTGGGTTCTCTTGTTGGAGATAATTTTCGTTAGTAATTACCAGATTTTTTCATATGATCATCGTCATCGTGACTGTAATGATGAAGAAATAGAGCCATAAATGTACAAAGAAGAAGTGGTCCCCATAGATCCCAATCACGAAGAAAATGTTTACGAATTTCAGTCCGTGAGATTGGAAATAAAATATATTTCATCTTAGAGGCAACACTTTGTAAATCTCTTAACAATGTTACCCTAACAGGTTCATCAAGTGTATCAAATGATGTTTGATCAATACCAGATGAGAAACCATCTTTACTAATCATTTCACCTTCCAATAAATGAATATCTTGATCATCCATTTTACCAGCCATTGATTTTTTCACCGAGTTAGTTAATCCAATAGAAGAAATAGAATTTGTTGATTTAATAGAATTAAAAGAAGTAAATGAAGACGAATAAAAATCAGTTGATCCAGGTACAATCCAATCGAGAAACTGTTTATTATTATTATTTATATTAGTAGTAGTTGAAGATTTTTGTGACATTAACTATCCAAATAGATATTAGATGGAAATAAACAAATAAAACTCATAAATCACAAAAATGAAAAAAAAAGAAAAGAGAAAAAGAGAAAAGAATTTAAATCAACTCAATGATCTTCTTATAAATTGTCCAATAGATGATCAACCTTAGAATAAATTTAATTAAGCTGATTAGCTAGATTATCGTTAATCTAGAATCGAAATGAAAATGAAACAATTAACTAATTAAATGATTAATTGGGACACGTAAACACAATTAAAAGTGAAAAAAGAGAAAAGAGAAAAGAAAACAAAATTTTCATTTCCATTGGAAACAGATGACAGAGAAGAGTAAGAAAAGAATTCGTGAGATGGCGACACAGTCGAAGATCCGAATTATGATTCATTTGGATCTGGTTAAAGATCCGAATTTATTTGTTTGGAAAATTGTGGAGTGTAAAGTGTTGAGTTAATTAGAATTTAATTGTTCGGCTTGTTTTATTTGTTTTCTCTTTTTTTCTCTGTTAAATTTATAGATTTCGATTAAATGGGAAAATGATTAACGGTGAACCGAGTGGCTCAGGTGTACCTGCAACCTCTGCTGATGCTTGTCATTCCATTGTGGTAAGTTTGATGTGCCATCGTCAAGGAGGTGAAACCGAGACATTTTCAAAAAGAGCCATCGAATCATTGGTTAAAAAATTGAAAGAAAAAAGAGAAGAATTAGATTCTTTAATTACTGCGGTAACAACTAATGGATCATTACCATCTAAATGTGTTACAATACAAAGAACTCTTGATGGAAGGTTACAGGTAGCTGGTCGTAAGGGTTTTCCTCATGTAACCTATGCAAAAATTTGGAGATGGCCAGATCTTCATAAGAATGAATTAAAGCATATTAAAAGTTGTCAATATGCTTTTGACCTCAAACTGGATTCCGTCTGTGTTAATCCTTACCATTATGAAAGAGTTGTTTCTCCAGGTATTGATTTATCTGGTTTAACTTTATCCAATTCATCTCATGGTTCAACTGTTGATCATGATCAATCATCTTCACACCATCCTGGGCCCTCCATTAAAAATGAATATCCTTCAACTTCATCCATTGTAAACTTACCTTCACCACCATTTACTGGTCCTGAACCATTTACACACCAAACCAAAGCTGCTCCCTTTTGGCCATCACATCCAGTGGCTTCTGTTATACCACCACCTCCACCACCACAACTTCAACATCAACATCAACAACAACCACAACCATCATCACTACCACTACCACCACCACCACCATCTCTACCTGACACCTCACTGGTGACGCAACCCTTATCAGATCTGCCCCCACCAGAATATTGGTGTTCCATAGGTTATTTTGAATTAGACCAACAGGTCGGTGAACTTTTTAAAGTGCCATCAACATTTAATTATGTCAAAATTGATGGTTACGTTGATCCTTCAGGAGCAGATCGATTTTGTCTTGGTGCTTTGTCTAATGTTCACCGAACTGAGGCAAGTGAAAAAGCTCGTCTTCATATTGGAAAAGGTGTCCAATTGGATCTCAGAGGTGAAGGAGAGGTTTGGTTACGATGTCTAAGTAACAACGCTGTTTTTGTACAAAGTTTTTACCTTGACCGTGAATGTGGTCGCACACCAGGCGATGCCGTACACAAAATCTATCCACAAGCTTACATAAAGGTAAAATAGAACTTTTTTTTCTCCTAACTACTTGCATCCAATTTTCTTTTCCAACTTCTCTTTTTGTTACCCTTTTCTCATAATTAATATTTTCTTTTCTCACTCTCATACTCATACTCGTTCTCTCTCTCTCTTTTTTTTATGTTTTATTCTAATTGCAGGTCTTTGATCTTAGACAGTGTGCTCACCAATTACAACAACAAGCTAAAGCTGCTCAGGCTGCCACAGCATTACAGGTAGTTGCTGTTGCTGGTCATCTACCTGTACCATCTTCATTAACTCCAGGAATAGGTGTTGATAATCTAAGGAAACAATGTATTATTAGATTATCTTTTGTTAAAGGTTGGGGAAATGATTATCCAAGACAGACAATTAAAGAGACACCCTGTTGGATTGAGGTTCATCTTCACCGGGCTTTGCAACTACTTGATGAGGTTTTACACACGATGCCCATTCAATCATGAGCTAAATTAACCGAAAATCAAGAATTTAAAATTAAAACAAAACACAAATTACAAGACAATAATTTGCATGGAATCTTAAAAGAAACAATTGTGTTTCATCATCATCATCATCTTCATCATCATCATAATCATCATCATCTTCATTTTCATCGTTATCATCATTCATCAGTGACATTGTGAAAAACGAAAAATCAACAAGGAGAATGTGATTAATTATAAATAATTATTAAGTAGAAAAACAAAAAATCGTTTGATAATTAATTTGTGTTTTCTTTTTTTTTGAGCAACAATTTAAATTAACTTAAAAATAATGTCCTTTTTGGTTGCTTGAAAGAGCTAATTAGTTATCAGAGAAGAAGAAAAAACAATGAAGATCGAAACAATATTGATTGTTGACTTTTCTCTCAGTTGATTAAACGTGGATTTTTTTTGTATTTTGTTGATTAATTAATGGATTAATTAAATGATGAATGATGGTTAACCAATTTCTTTTTCCAGCAATTTAATTTAAATCCTTTTCTTTTGTGTAAACATGACTTTTCAGGACCTTTAAGATTCTAATTGATTTGGTCAATCAATCTGAATTTCATCAGTGAATTAATAATCAAATTATGACAGAAAAACAAATAATTCTTGTTTTCATCATCATCATGATCGTTATGATCCATCATCACTGATGATTTACCACCAATTCCTTTCATTTTGGACCCATCAATGGTTTCAGAATATAAATTAATTATAAACGTGATTAATGCATAGAAAATCAATTAATTATCGATTCATTTCTTTGGAGATTTTTTATCTTTCTTGGATTTTCCACTTTTTTCCTCCTTCGGTGGTGATGATTTACTTTCTTCTTTAGGTTCATGGTTATCCTGATCAATAAGAATAGAAAAAGAGACAAAAATGAGTCAGAATATTATTTTAGCGAGTTAATTGTGACAATTTAAAGTTTAAATTCATTCACCTTGAGGGATAGATTTTTCAAAGGAATCGTCAAATCGAAAGCTGAACAAGCAAATGGAGTCCAAAGGCTACTGATCGGTGGAATTGTGTAAGGTTCAGGAGCAACGATTCCATGGGTCGCTTGGAGTTCGAGGTTTGGAAGATCAAGTGGAACTTTCTGATGGAATATTAAATTATTTTCTCTTTCACATTTATCCTTAATTCGAGTTAAACTTGATTTGATTCGTTGGAAAAATCCAGTCTGATCTTGTTTCGGAGCTGAACCATAGGATTTCATTTTGAAATATTCTTTCATCAATGGAGATAAAATCTCGATTCTCCTGAAACTTTCCTGACTACATCTAATTGCTTCACCACATTTTTCCAACTTAATTAAATTGTCACCAAAAAAACTATAAGCCTAAAGGAATAAAATAAAAAACAAGATTAGTTGTAAAATCATCAGAAAGGGTTAAAGATACAACCACCACATTTCCAATCAGAATTAGGCTTCTGATTGATGAGAGAAATGAAAACAATTTCAAGACTAATGGTCAACTAAATTGTAGACTAACCAATGCATCGTAACAACAGCATTTGATTTGAAAATAGTGCATCCATTTACCAAATTTAGTAATTTCCAGAGCCTTGATGTTCATTGCTGCTTCCAGAAACTTTTGCGATGTCGTGTGGGCAAGAGCTGAAATTAAGGCTGGTGAATGTTTCAAATCAATCGCCCGGAAAACAGTAACTAAATTGTGGAAATATTGAAACGAAAGGAATCAAATTAATCTGCTGATAATCAATACAATTATCTTATATTGTGTTGAGGTTTGATTGGTTTTCACTTTCTCTTTTCGGTTCATCTTTTCAATCATAATCAATACCTTCTTGAGCTTCAGCGAAACATTGAGCTATATAAGCATCAATTACTTTAGTGTCAAGATCTGATCCAATTGTACAAGTATCAACCAATCGATGGATATAATTAGTTTTAATTTCACTTAAAACACCAACTGATTTCCTAAGGAATCGATGAATTTTTTTTAATTGCTCTTCAGTTACTGATTCTTTAGACGATAAAATTGAAGCCTTTTTCATCAACCAGAAAGCATATTCCTGGTTAATTGAGATAAATTCATACATGACATCGTATTGGGAACTATAATTAAATATAATTGTGATAGAAAAAGAAAATGGAAAAACAATTAAAAACAATAACAATTACTCTTAATTGATAAAATCGCCTCATGGTAAACAATTAAAACTTACACAAGACTTGAGCCTAACATTGAATGGGTCCACTTAAATTTGACAACATGTCTCAATCGGGTTGTGTCACTACCAGCACTTGAATCGGCATTTTCAATGAATCCTCGCAATAAACCAAGATAATTGTACAATTGATTTTGAATAATTTCCTCCTCACAATCCAAATTAGATAAATTCTCAATCAATTTAACGCGACACTTTTGTAATTGACTGTAAACAAAAACAATAGAAAATAATAGGAAACAAAACAAGAAAACACCCAAATGGAAATGTTTACACAATTAGAATCAAATTAAAAGGAAATTCAAGTCAATTAGGAGTAGGTAAAGGCTTGGAGATAATCAGTGGTCAATTAAATAGTTTAAAAGTGATTTTGTATAACAATTAATGAGTAAATTGTGATCATTGGTGATCCTATTTACCTACAAATGTTTACAGCTTCAGCATTGGTAGTAACCAATTTAAGATCAAATGGAACCGATGTTGTTGATTTAAGTGGATTTCTATGGAACCAGAAAGTCATACTCACTTTCGTAGTTAATTGTGATCACTAAAATTAAAGAAAATTAAAACAATTAAGTAGATTAATCAAGAATTAAATGGAAAATTCTGAAGAGAAAATGTAAATAAGCTTGGAAATCAAAGTGAAAATAGCAACATCACTCAACCGATCATCTGGTTTTCTAAGTGAAGAAAAAAAATCTCTTTCTTTTCTTTCTTTTTTCTTTTCTCTCTTTCTTTTTTTTTCTCTCAACCGTAACAATTAACTAACCAACTTGTTTCTATTCCCTAATCAAACTCTCATCATTGATATTTCCAATTAGATTGTTAATAATTAATTTACGCTCTTCATTTTCTTACCTTGAAAGTGTTTACCAATCAAAGAGTAACTATGATTATCCAAAATAAGTGATTAACTTACAATTAACATGGAAACAATTAATCAGTGATTAACTGTGAAGATGAAAATTCAATCTAAATCTATCATTTGATTCCATAGTATATTTAGATTGTGTATATTAACTTTAATTATCCAATTCTCGAAATCAAATTAACCAAATACAAATTAAAGGGTAAGTGATATGATTACAATTATGTAACAAACAAACAAACAAACTTAAAATGAAAACAATTAACTTAAATTGTGACAAATATAATCAACAGGGAATGTGATTAATTATAAGTACATATATAAACATGATAATTAATGTTGTTTATTGAATTTTGTTTAAGTAACAATTTAAAATTAAACGTAAATTAAAATGTTTAGTTGCTCATTAGTTGTAATCAGGAATTGAAATGATTATGATCAGCGTTTTGATTGTTAATCATTCGTGTTGATGATTTATCAATGGATTATATTAATAATTAAATGATGATGAATGATGGGTTAACTTAATTGTCCCAGCAATTTAATTAGCACTTTGTTCAACTGTTGAATCGGTGGAAAATCCTTGAACATATCCAGTGTCTTTCGGTGGATCCTCTCGTCCGACTTTTCCTCGGCCCTTTCCGGTTTCATCGAATCGTTGTTTATGAGTTCCGGTGTATTTGGTATGGTCAGTTAATCGAGCCACGGCAGCGGAATTGGCAGCAGTCTAAAAACCACAACAATCGGTCAACAATTAACAAATTGAGAGGCAAAAGAAAAAGAAAATCAGTAAATCAGTAAATTACCACAAGGAACAACAATTAGAACCAAATTAGATCAATATTAACCATGTTATCCTATGAAATCATAATTAATCAATTTTACTTGTTTACAATCAAATGATTGATTTGTAGTTGATACAAATGAACAAGGAATCAAATATTATTCAGCTAATTGTTAAAACTAATTTTGTTTACATGTTTAAGTTTTAAGGATAAATTGTTCAACTCTGGTTAATTTAACTTCGTCACTTTTTTCTCGATTAATTTTTCTTAATTGTTACAATTAACTCACAGTAGTCTTGGTGGTTGCTGGTGGCCCACTTAAAGTTAATTTCTGCTTAATTTCACCAACGTCAATCTTTTTATTCTTGGCAATTTCCTCCAAAAATTGTTCATACTCTTTAAGAGTCAAAGCCTTTTTGGTCCTAGAAGAAACCAAATTTGGAAACAATCAATTAATCTGATTGATTTTTACAACAATTAGCTAATTGTTGACCAAATTTACTTAGCAATTTTCTTGAAATATATTCCAGTATCAACTGTGGTTATCTTTTTACCATCGATAACTTTTGCCTGTTTGAACCATTTATCGCTATTAGATAATGTAATTGAATCTCCGGTTGATTTGGAATCGCCAAATTTAGCAAATGAACGGAAATTCAGTTCAATTGGATTATCGGAAGGTGGTAATGGTGACACTGATTGTTGCTGGACCGCTTGACCATTACTATTGTTGTTATTATTAACATCTTTGCTTCCACTCGATGGCGGAGTTGGTAATGATTGCGATGAACTTAAGATCGGCCTGGAATCGGTATCGGTCATTTTTAGTTGATCTAAATTGAATGGAAATCGATATTGAAAGAAAAATATTGAAAAAGAAAACTTAATCAAAACAATCAGCTAATTGTAAAGGTTGACAAGTTGATAATAAAATCAATTTTTTATTGATTTAGATTGAGAATCACAATTAAACTTGGATTATATATTTTCCCATGTGGGTCAAATTGTTTGTTTATGTTGATTTACAATTAACATGATGAAATCAATTATTAAGATCAAGGACAATTAGTTAATTGTGATCACTAATAATAGTAACAATTTATCAAACATGTAATTACAAGTTAATCATTGGTTGAAATGAAATAGTCAAGTTGAATATGAATCAATAAAGTTTTGATTAAATTGTCAATCATCAAGATCAAGTTAATTGTCAGTGGTTAATTGTTGTTAAAACACTTGATCACAATGAGTGAGAAAATTATAAGTTAATCAACTAATTAACTTGATGTTGAATTTTCACTGTTTTTAATTGGAATTAAATAAGAGGATAATTAGTTAATCATATCTGATTCCCTACAAGAATTAACTTGATGATCATAAATTTGAATGACACAAATTAGATTAATTAGAGAAAGAAGGATAAATCATTCATCAATTGATTCTAAACAATTTAACTAATATTATTTTCGTAATCACGTCAATGTTACATTAACATGCAATTTGTTTAATCACAATTAATTTTCATCATAATATTATGATACAAAACAATTGCGTGATTGTTGATAATAACCAATTTGTTGTATTGAATTTGATTCAATCATTTGGGTTTAAGTGATAAAATCAAATTTACAATAATAACATTTAAATATCTAATACACAAATAACAACAATTAAGGTGTTAATCGGACAATTAGTAAATTAATTGATCCACCAACAAATTATAACTACAATAATAGTACAGTTAATTATGGGTAAACTGTGATAGACATAAATTATCACTGTGGTGATGTTTAATAACCTTCATCATTTAGTAACACAATTAAGTGAATCTAAATTATCACAATCAGTAAATCATAATAATAAAAATTGATACAATCAGCAATTTCTTATACACTTTATAAGTGAGAGCATTGGAAACAATCATTAGATTTACTTGGAAAGGGAAAATTTCATTTAAGAAATTGGGTCATGAAGATTTGGTGATGAGGATGAAAAAGTCTATGGAATTGACCATGGGAAAGGAGAATCAAGTGAAAATAGAGTCAATTAAAAGGGTTAATCAGTTGATTATGAATCAAGAGAATCATTTAAATTGAAAGGTAACCCTTGAAAAGGAAAAGCTAATTGTTGAGTCGGAAAAAAATAAGAGGAACTAAATTGTAATAGAATCAGAATCAGAATCAGAATCTATCAGAATTTAATTCATATTTTCATCTTCTATTGTTTTAAGAGAGGGTTTTAGAGAGAAATGGATTAACTTACCTATGGATTAGATTTGATTTAGAATGTTGATCAGTGATGATAATCAATTGGGTCAGAATTTAAATTGTTACAATAAGATAATTTGAATGACAACGAAATATTGGAAATTACTGTAAACACAATGAGAAACAGTGAGTGAGAGAGAGAGAGGGAAAAGAATTGAAAGTGATACCATAGGAGGAAGAGGAGGAGTAGGAGGATGAAGATGATGATGAAGAGGAAGACTTAAAGGGAAGAAAAGAAAGGAAAAATAGAGAGAAGATGAAGAAAAAGCTATTGCATCAAATGCGATGATTTACCTTGGCATTGGATTCTCATGGAGACTGTTCATACTTTCACTCATCTTCATCCCTTTTTCTACATGGTGATGATCATCATCTTCATCTTTAGTAAACAAATCAATAAACAGTTATAATGATAGAGAGAAAGATGAAGAAACCAGAAATGGAACAGCAAAGAAAAGAGTTGGTATTGGAAGAGGGAAAAATATTTGGAAAACACCAAGACTGAATTTCTCTCTTCGGACTGAATTTTTCGGAGTTTTCAACACAATTTTCACATGATTCAAGGTGAAATTAGAGCTTTAAAACCAATTTTAATAGAAACAATTAAAAGATTCTACAAATCAATTTACATCGTTTGTCATATGTGACATTGATCAATAGTTGATAGGTTGATGGATTAGTTGATTAGTTGATTAGTTGACATGTTTAAATGGTTTATTTACTTTGGTATTTGTCATTTCTTCATCTCTCCATATTTACTGTTACCTGTTTGACCATAATTTTTGATGATTTGGTTGATTGTTGACCATCTTTGTTGATTGTTGTCAAGTTCTGATGTTCGACCGATTGTTGATGGATCGAATGTCGGATCTTCGCGACAAACTATCACATAGTAAACGTAAGTTAAATAAATTCGAGCAATAAAAGCGACAATCGCTGCTCCCGTTGTCGGTGCTGGTGCTGATTCAGAGCCATTGATGAAATTCAATACAGCGGTACAAGAGAGATCAATGGTTTGGCCATCCTGACAGGTAACGTTTTCTACAATTAAGGTGACTGTTAACAAGATTAAAAAGATTGACGATAAAATTGATGATCTTTGTAACTTCATTTTCAACAATTGATTAAATCATTTAAATTGTTTCATCCTTTTTATTAGGCTTGTTAATTGTTCTCCTCATACCTGTAACCCGTATTAATTGTTGTCTCTAATTAGAACAAGGTGATCTTGATATTGATCTTTGGATAGAAATCAATAATTTAAATTAATTGTTATTCATCATTTATTTTACATTGATTTCAAAATTTTCATCTCAAATCAAGAGCAATTAAGTGATAAATTTTGTTTGTAATTCAATAAACAATGTAAAAATTTTAACAAATTAACCCAATGGATAAATTATTTCACAAAAATTTCATCTTGAAAGGCACAGAAATTAAGGATTCTGATTATAATTGTAAAGTATAAATGGTAACCAAATTAACTGGAAAATATAGTTAATAACGTTCAAGTTGTGTTTTGATTCAGTTTGTTGTTTTGGAAAACTAAATTGAACAATTTAACAGGAGGACAAGTTGATTTGGCACGAAAACATTTAGAAACCAGTCAATTAATAACGTCGATATGGAAGACGATTGCTATTGGAATAGTTTAATTGCATTTTAGTAGTTAATTAACTTTTTGAGAGCATGAAGACATCTCCATTTATCTGGAATGTAGAAAGGTTCATATATATGGGGAAATGGTGTATCGAAACCTGCAACTCGAGTTACTGGAGCTTCGAGATGAAGGAAACACTCTTGTTGAATGGTGGCAGTAATTTCTGCTCCAAAACCACCGGTCAAAGGGGCTTCATGTGCAACCAAAACTCTGCCCGTTTTTTTAACTGAATTTAAAACTGTCTCTCGATCCCATGGGCTAATTGTTTGTAGATCAATTAATTCACAGGAAACATTCAAACTATCCTGAGCCATTTGACAGACTTCATGAAGTACATGAACTTGAGTTCCCCAGCCAATTAGGGTAACATCATCACCCTCGACAATTACCTCCGCCTTTGAAAGAGGAATTTTATATTCTTTAACGGGAACTTGTTCAACTGCCGTTCGATATAAAATTTTGGGCTCGAAAAAGATACACGGATTATTGTCTTCAATACAACTGGTTAAAAGACCTTTAGCTTGAATTGGTCCACGAGGAATGACTATTTTGATACCGGGTATGTGAGCGAAAAAAGCTTCAACCATTTGCGAATGGTACAAAGCTCCATGGCCAACAGCACCGCAAGGAGCTCGAATGGTTAGTCCACCGCAATCAAATTGATTACCAGCTCGATAACGAAATTTGGATGCTTTTGATTAAAGAAAAAAAATAATATTTCATGTTAATCAAGTGCAAACTAATTTTCCATGTACAATTTTCAATTGATCCTATTATCATACCTTCATTGAGTATTTGATCAAAGGCAGGGAATATATAATCGGCAAATTGGATCTCAGCTATGGCTGTACCACCAGCGGCTGCTAAACCGATTCCAAATCCGACGATTCCTTGTTCACACAAAGGTGTATTGAATACACGTTCTTTACCATGTTTATCTTGTAATCCAATTGTACACCTAAAGACACCACCGAATGCTACATCTTCACCGAATATAAATGAGTTTGGATTTTTAGTCAAGGCCAAATCAAGTGAATTGTTAATTGCTTGGAATAAATTCATTCGATTAGTTTCACCCTCGGAAGCTGCTACAGTATCTGGATAATAGTTGAAATGAGTTGAATTTCGAACGAACAAATTTGATGAAAGTTGTTTACTCAATTGTAAAATACGACGACCAAAAACGTTCATCATGCTGATCAATAGTCTTGGATGAATTTTTTCAACACCAAAGGAAAATTATAACAAGTGTAAGATAATATACCAGTGATTAGATTTAAATAGATATTCAGATGTTTATCTTCAATTTTGTCTCCGTTGATCTAAAACAGCGTATCGAGATGATTAAGAGAAAAAAAAAGAAAAGGAAAAGAAAATGAAACAAAATCGTTACCAAGGATTGAAAGAACATGATGAAATGAATGAATTCGAAATTTACCTGTTATCCACAAAGATACAATTGAAAATAATTAATAATTCCAATAATTGAACAACAACGGATGAAGAAGATTTTAGAAAGGAAAAAAATTACAACCAGAGATGTTCACAAGCCATGAGAGTGAAAAATATCAACGCCAAAGGCAAATGAATCTGCAAAGAAAAGATGACCAGTTACAATCACCAAAATCGAAAAATCTTAGTGACAACAATTAAATAAACAATTAACAATTAACCAGAAGAAGAAAAAACAACAACACCAAATATCAGGAAAAAAACTAAAAAGAAAACAGAACTAAAACAATTAACAAATCATAACCTAACACACAATTTAACCATGTTTAGAACGAAACAGATCAATTAATTGATCAAAATCGTAAACAAAAAGAATCAATAATCAGTTAATTGTAGAATTAAGAAAAGGTTAATTAGTTAATCAAGAATTAAGGTGAGAATTTGTTTACCATCAGAATTAACCAAAAAAAGAGAAGGGGTCATATGGTAATTACGACGGTGGAATAGAAGAAAAAATTTGGGTGCAACCAAAGGATAGAGAGAGAAAAGAAAGTGAACTCCAGTTGGAAATGTTGATTATGAGAATTGTTTAATTATCTTTATTTGGTTTAATTCTAATTGAAACAATTAACATGGATCAAGATGGAAAATGTGAATTAACAAGTGAATTACTGTTCTTTGATACCTTTACCCATGAAAACATTCAGGTTTGTTAATAACAATTAATTTCTAAATTATTTTCTCTTCTCTTGTGAATGTGATTTTTGTTTTTCTATCTCATTTTCTCTTTCTTTTCTTTCTATTTTTCTCTTACTTTTGTTTGTTTACTCTCTTTCTCTTTCTCTTAAATCTTATTATTCTTTTTTCATTCATTTTCTCTGATAAAACCTAATCATTTATTATTGACAGTTACTAAAGGTGTTAGAATCAATGTTCACATTGTCATGATTTCTATCACCTAACCTTTGATTAATCAAATGAGAGAAAAAGAGAAACAAATAACCAATGGATATAACCAATTGGTGGTTTTCTCTTTCTTTTCTTTCTTTCTTTTCTCTCTTCTCTTTCTTTTCTTTTTCTCATTAGATTTTCTATTCTAACCTTTTTCTTTCACATTTTCATTTTCTTTCTTTCTTCGCTTATACACACACACACACATACACATCTTATCATGAACCAAACATTGATTGTCCTTTGGCTTTTCTATTCTTATCTCATTTTCACTTCTTAATTGTTACTTTAATTGTTACTTTCTTTCTCTGTCTTTTAGGAATCTAATTTGGATTTAGTTCAGTTTGCAAGCCCAATAATTATCGATGAAATCCGAATCATACCCCTTGGAGCTCGAGTAGTAGCTGATTTTACCGGCGGAGACAGACTTGGGTAAATCTAATTGTTACCAATTCCCTGGCTGAGAAATTGAAATGATGAAGAATTGATTAACTTGAGATCAAAAGAAAACATTTATTTGTCTATGGGCATCTAATTGTTCAAAAATTAGATAAGTGAAAGTTGAGTTGGGATGTTGATCTTTCCGTTCAATTTAACTGTCGATAATTTTCTAACCCATAATCCACAATCTTCATCTCATCTTTCACCCCGTGACATTAAATTGTCAGTAGTGATCAACTAGATATTTATCATGGAAACATAACAATTAATTTTTCTTCATCATTACAATTCCCACGCTTCAAAGCCCATCATATGCTTTTTATATCTTCAATCTGAAAATCCTCCTATTTCCTTTACTCTTGATTGTTTCTTTAATCAAAAATTCTTTGCTGGTTATCTGATCATATCGCAATTAATTTTCTAATCATGATATTTTTTTTGGTTTTAATTTCACAGAGCAACAAATCCCTCATCATTTGATGTTACTTTCTACATAAATGATTTCACAAAACCCACTGTTTGCACTTTCTCAGACTTTGGACGGTAAAGAGTTTAAATTACATACATATTTTAATAGCTAATTGGATATCAATTTCAAGTGAATTGTTATTAAATCAATTTCTTTTTCTTCTATTGTCCCTTTTAGATTTGAATATAAGCAAAATATCAACATTCAATTTATTCCAGAAGAGCGTAAGCCAACCGATGGTCTACTCATTAAAGGTTCATATCAAGTCATAACTCTTGCCATTTATGGGGCTCAAACCAATATCAAAGATTTAATTATCAAAGAGGAAAATCTTGAGGCTACACCAGTTTCGGATAATTGCTCTACATCCCAAGTACCAGTTACTATTGATGATGATCACCATGACCATCCTTTAGAAAGTGAATTTGCATTTGCTGAGAAAAATTATTCTCATAGAGATTCACCTCACCCAGAGAAAGAGTTTAATCCAGTTTTAGAAAGATTAAATCAAACTGCCAATCTAAATCAACATGAGAAAATAATTAAAACAGCAAGTGGCTCGAAAACAGTTGTAATCAACAATAATGATGACGAAGATAATGATTCATATTATAGTGAAAGAACTAAAGAATCTGGTGTGAGAGAACCTGAAATAGGTTCTACCAGTGTAAACAATAGAGATGAAAATGTTGATCCAAGGAAACGTCCATGTTCAAGACATTTTACCGTTAATTCACCACATTCTCTATCACCAGTTCGTAGTCCACAAAGTCTCAAAAGTCCGATGAGCCCACAAAGTGATTCAAGTATGAAATTTGATAGTAACATATCACATGCTCGTTCACCCCTAATGGATCATCATCACCACCATCATCATAAAAAGTCATCAAATACATCTTCAAGGAGTCCTTACTCTCGTCATCTACCACCACCTCCTTTACCGCCATCAACAGCAACAACAACAACAACATCAACATCAACATCAGCAACTCATTCTAATCACTCTCCTCGATCTCCTCGTTACATTCAATCAAGATCAACTTCGCCTTGGTACAAAAATCAACATAATCCTTCCCATCCGTCTTCACCATCATCTCCTCTTTCACCCTATCATTATCGTAAAAATCATTCTCCCAGGAAAATTGCATCTCCAGCGAAAACTCCCCCGGAAGAATCTTCCTCATCATCTTCTTCATTTAACAAGAAACGTCTTAGACGTGCCCGAACTCCTCCAACTCGCTCACCATCTCCCTCAGCAAATAAAAGAATAGAAATAGAAAACAATTCTAGTAATCATTCTATTCCTATTCTACCAGTTAATACTGATCTTTTAGAAGAAATTTCTCCTGAACATTCACTTTCAGATTGGGCTGAAAGTATTTCTGAAGACGAAAATTTGGATGATATTGAATCAGGTGACGGTGAACCAGAAGATAATCTTCCATCAAGTAATATCAACAATCTACCAGAAAACATTGTTACTGATCCAACATCAAACACAACGACAACAACAACCACAATTGTCAACAATTCTTGTAATATCAACTATTATATTCATTCACCTGCAAATCATCAGCAACCCAGTGAAAGCCAGGAACCCGAGCCTTTTGAATCAATTTCATCGGAAGAGGAATATTTTGAAGAAGGAGGAAACATGGCCGAAAGTGACCGTTTATCTCACTATTCTGATTATGACATTTGTGATGAAACCTTCAATCCAACCTTTGACCCCTACAATTGTGAATTCACCTCTCTTCAAGCTCTTCGTGACCCATCACAAACCAATTATCAACATCTCAGAAATTCCCAAGTGAATCTTAATGAAGAAAATAAAACTAAAAGGACGTTACTTTTATCACAATTATCTGAGATGAAGACAACAAGAACCTCCATTTGGGTTGAATCAATGGAAACCATTGCCAAAGATATCGAACTTGTTCCCTTGGAAAAATCTGATATTCTTACCATCATTTTAAATTGGTTAAAAGATGGACTTGATTATGATCTTGCAATTAAGCAAACAACAATTCCGTTTAAAGTGAGACATTTAAAAGCAGGAATTAAACTCTCCATTGCCTTGATCAATACAGATGAATCAATAGTCAAAAAGTTAATCGAGCTCAAGATTCCTTTGTCATTGTTCAACCTCTACTATAAACCTCATATGTCTCTTCCCTTAAAGTTATTGATACTTCGGGCATTTGACGCTTTCTGTGACTCTGTGATTGGAATTGAACATATTCTCGTTGATGGATACATTTTCACTGACACCATCACCACCAGCGACACCTCAGATGATAATCAATTGAAAGAAAATCCATCAACGGTTTATCAACATTTACTCCTTCTCTTGACCAGTAAACCACCATCTCGAGTTGCAATAGCTTTAGAAGCTTTATTAAGTAAAATTCATTTCTACCATTTACTGCAATCTTTTCAAACGATTGTGTCGAAACCTTGTCATGACGTACTCGCCATATTGACACACATTCGTAAAATTGGTTCCATTTTTGCCTCAGCGCGTAAATTGTTGACACAGAAAGTACGCTGTTTACCTGTGACTTGTTTCTTTGAGATCAAAGAGTCTAAATGTGATTGTTACCCATCCATTTATAACTGGTTTAAACTTTATCACTTTATTGACAATTTGGTGGATCTATTGAAAAATTCCCACTCTGATCTGATAACCTCTGAGATCCATCAGCTGATTGATATACTAATGACGGAGGAAAGTTTCCCGCGTTTCCTTTTATCATCACCATGTTATTTAAAGACCAATGAATTAATTTCACTGCTAACAAACCATGCAAACCATGACATGTTCAACAATCAGAATAATTGTATTGGAGAAAGACTTGCCTATTTACTACAGTCTTATTCCCTAATTGATTTACTGATTGCCCGTGTTCAAAGTGGCTCATTTAACCTTGTCAAATGTGACGAAGATATTGAACTATGTTCAATATTTCGTAGTTTCCATAGTCTACTTTTCTCACCGATTGGCCGAGAGTGTGTTGTCCAAACTCTTTCTTCATCTAATAATTTCCAATCAGCTTTACTTCCCTTCCTGATACCAATTATTGGTGATAATAAATTGTACAAATCAATTTGGTCCGAATATGCAGTTAAATTATGTATTTCAATGGTGCAATTTGGCGAAGACAATATTTTCCATGTCATTAGAAACTATGGGAATAGTTTACTTGCCATTTCTAAAAACAATCAATTACCTAAACTTTCATCTTTATCCGATTGGCTTAAACCAATTAACTGTATCCAAAATTTAAGCTACTCCGAGTCAACCTTTAAAGAGCTGATGACGCAAGTTAAAAATTACGCCGATGGTGCAGTTAAATTAAAAGAGAGCGAAATTTTCAAACTTCAACCACAACTAATAACCATCATCCGAATCTTATATAAACTTTGCCTACCACCACAAAAATATTATCATCAAAATGTTCAAGAATTAGAAAACAAACCAGTCAATGAGTTAAAATACTATTACGCTACAATACAAGTTTACAGTTACGATGGACTTTCATCTTTATTAACATTACTACAGAAATTAGCTCAAACTTATCTACGTCCATCTCACCAAAGTTTTGCCCTTGTCGGTGATCAGGGTTCCCTTGTAATGGCATTTGTCAAACTTGCCGTTAAACTGGTCAAGGAAATACTTAGAGTACTAATCCATGCCCGTGGTAAAGATTTTAGAGACACCTCACCGATACCCGTTATGTTGAAAGTATACTCACTGATGTACCTATTTCCCCGATGTTCATTTGCCTACTCAACCTCTAGAGAAACAATAAGAGATATTGTTGACATTCTCATGTTTTACACCCAATTATCTTTAACACTCTCTGAATCTGATCCTGAAACAATGGCTAAAGGTATTTGGACCAAGATGATTAGCGAAGTATTAAAATATACCTTCTCCCTGCCGATGACCTTTGTCCATGGATTAAGTCTTCTCTCTGAATTACTACCTCTTCCATTGCCTTTTCAAACATTATCTCCTTTGACCGAGGAAGAAGTTAACAAAATGATTAACATACGTAAACTTTGGTCAGCACATTTACTTGGACTTTCCGCTGATTTGGAAAAACTTATCTCTACCTTTGTCATCTCATCATCACCAACCATTCAACAACTTCTTCGACGTGTTTGCATTCAAATATCTGATCTCTCTTCACCGGCTTCCACCATGATGGTTCGCTCAGTTTTGGAAGTTGTTCTTGACTCTCTTCCCAATGAAAAGAATCCTAAACTGTCCACTCCCTTACTTTATGTTCTCAATTTACTTTCTTACCTTTCCACTCATCCACCATTTAAAATGGCTTTTATCCATACAATGCACATTGGTGGTAAATTAGATGAAAAATATTTCACTTTTGTCAACAAATTGTTACGTTTACTTAGAGAAGAGGGAACATCAAAACCCATTGAGGTTCAAATTAACCATCTAATATTTACCTTCCTTCAATCCCTCTGTGACTCAGATATTTATCTCAATTCAAGGATATCATCTACACCGAGCCCTCAAATTGTAAGTATTATTACATTAGTAAATATTTAATTATATCCATTTATGATCATTGTAATCTATTAATAATTAATTAATATCGTTCTCTTTTTTCCTACTTTTGTTTAAATAGCTTTCAAACTCGTTGCCTCCAAAAGAATCATTGAAATTAATCATCTCAATGTTACTTAAATTCCTCAAGAATTCAATTAAGACATTCACAAAATCTTCAACAATCATAACATCAACATTAACTAATGGACCACCTTCACCTAATTTCAACTCAATCTTACCGGTACTCAAGATATTATCGTTACTATGTTGCCATGATTTTGGCTTCATCCCGATTAAACAAGGCATCTTTGAGGAAGCTCCGTTAATCATAAGTTTAATTATTTTGCAAATTAGTAACTCAATCAGATCTGAAACCAGCAAAGATCATCATGAGGATAACAATGAACTTGTCTTACTAATTTGTGGATTTGTTGATTTCCTAAAAGCTTTTATGTTACCAAATGAATATCGTTCTGCCAAATTGAGTTACAAAGAAATAGTTACATTACTTTCATGGGAATCTAGAATGAATGAACCTCCAATTGACTGTAAGAAATCATTACAACAACCATCAACATCATCATCATCATCTTTATTATCCTCTTCAATTATGGTTAAAGATGAAGATGATCAAAAATATCCAGAGAAACGGTTAAAAATTGAGACAGATGAAACAATGGAAACAAATGTTGAGGATAATAATAATAATAATAATAAAGAAGCAGGAGATGTAGAAAATGTTGATATTACCATGGCTCAAATAAGTGAAAAATTATGTGAAAAGGAGACAATTAATGAGACAACAATTAATGAATCAACAAATGGAGCAACAAGAGTTGAAACAAATAACAATCTACATCCTTTACTCATTCTAAATGAGTATCTTGAAAATTTGGATACAGTTAATGAAAACGAGATTTGTGGTATGCGTAAAATTGTCAAAAGCCTGTTAAATGTTTTGTCTTCATTTAAAGATGAGTCGGCTGGAGATGTCACAGTGAACATTGAATTACCAGTTATCGAACCATTGCCATTACAATTTTCGAAGCGAGAAGTTTTCATTGTAACATCTAACATAGACCAAGAAAAGTTAAACATTAACTTTTGGCTTTCAGTGCCAACTTTTGATGATGATCAACATCTTAATAACCACCGTCATCATAATCATAATCATCACTATTCTCAGATTGGTAATCATGGTCAAACTGTTAACTTGGAAACTCATTCAACAACAACACATCGTCCATGTGATACTCAACTTGGTGGCAGGGAGATGAACACTCTTGATAATGATAAACGAATCAGTTTTATTGAATTGTGTCAAAAATATTTACCCAGTGACTTTAATTTTAAGAAAACACTGGAAAACTTGTGTCAAACACAAGAGGAGACTGTTGATGTTGCCAAATCAACAAATAAACCATTAATTTCACTTAACTCACCTCATCATCACCACCATCATCATCATCATTCAATTAGGAGGATGGGATCAATGTTACCAAATCGTGAATCAAAATCATTTACAAATGTTAAAAAATCTTTTGTCGCTCCAATGAGAAATCGAGGATTTGGTCGTCCAGGATCAATGATGCATTCGTCTCGAGCAAATGACCCTTTCAGATCACGTCCACCCAATACAAGTCGTCCACCCTCAATGCATGTTGATGATTTTGTTGCTCTTGAACAATCAGGAACCAATTGTAACTCGTATGAAGTACCAAGTAAACGAATGAAACTTGATTATACTTTGAAAATTCGTAACAATTCATCAAGTACCACTGGTGGAAATGGCTCTGGGGGTAATAATAATATGATTTCCAATTCTGGGAATAGTAACTTGTTACATAGTTCATCTTCTCGATCTTTTGGTGGATCAGCGACAGTTGGTTCAAGATCTTCACCTTCATATCATACTATTGATTCTTACTCAAGTCGACGAACACTTAATTCAAGCTCTCATTCTCATTCACATTCACATTCTCACTCCCATCAGTCACCTATTCGTAACAATCTACCCTCAACTTCATCTCGTAATTCATTGACACGCTACTCAAGGGACAGTTATTCACCACCAGCGCCCAGGTCAACACGCTCAGACTCAATAGGACCATCGTCATCTTCACTACATTGGACCAAAAGCAGTTTAACCAATCGTCGTGATTCAAGAGACTCTAGAGATTCAAGATCTGTCCGTTCATCTAATAATCGTTAAAAAAACAAAAAAAAAACAAACTAATTAACCTTAGATAATGTAAATTGTATGATAAGAATGCAAATGTCCAACAGAATCAAATTGTTCCTTATCATTTTGAATATTTGAAATGTAGACACATCACATTATTGTTGTGTAAAAGCTCATCCAATTTAATGACTTAATTTGTAACAATCATAATCATTGACAATTAACTCTCATTTTCTTTCTGAACAGAGACAGACAAAATCAACACGCACTCATAGCCACATATAAATACATAAATCGTGATGAATATACATAAATATATACAAATATATACAAATATTTATAAATATTAATGTTTCATCAAGAAACATTACAATTTGATGGTAATACAAGACAATTAAAATGAAAAGCGAAACAGGTAAAATGAAAATCTATTTAATCAAATGTTAATCATCAAACCAATCAACTCATCAAAATGGAAGGTGAAATAACAAGAAGGATGAAAAAAGTCAATTGTTATGACAAAATCGTTAATTAACTAAGGATATCGACAATTAAATTGCAAGAAGCATAACAAAGATTAATCAAAAAGTCAACAACAATTAATAAAATCCAACAATTCCCAGATTAGGATGAGTAGTTAATGTGAATGATAAAAAAAAAGGTTGTCACCTTTACAAGAAAAAAACAACAAATGTAAACTTATTTAAGTGTAACAATTTAAAGGTAACTATTAGTATCTAAACTGTGAACACTAATAATGATAATCATCATTATTATATCATTGACAATAATCAACCAAATGCCATGATAATAATTAACAAAATCAACAACATTAATAAGGTGTTGAAAGTTGAAAACTTTAATGATATAATCAAGAGGAATGATAAACATTATCATTAATGATAAATTACGTTTTGTTGGATATAAATAAGAACATGATTAACTAACTAAATCATGATGATGATCAAGGTTTTCAGAGGAACAATCAAATTCAACAACTTTAATCTTGTTGGAGGCAAAAAAAAAGTTTTAATTTTGTTCACACAATTTAATTCATTGTTACGGAAGAGCAACAATCAACCAAGTGATTTAAGATCAATGAATTATCAAAGTTATATCACCTTAAGGCCCAACCTTTAGCTTCCTCTTTAACTAATGTCCTAATCATTAACTAATGATTTCTATTTAATTGTCAATCAGATTGCGATCTCAACAATTAAGACATTTTCACAATTTTCTCCTTCAAATTAAAATCAATTAAGTTTTCACACTTTAATCGCAATTATTATTATTACAATTGTTTCATCATTCAATCAAGACAACAACAAATCAAGGAATCAATTGATTATCAGCAATTAGATTAAAATGATTCACAATGAAACCATTTAACTTTGATTGTAATGTAAAACTATCAAATGATCAATTCTGATCAACTCAATTAATCTCATCTCTTTGTGTATATCCAACAATTTAATTCAGTTAATCTCAATAATTACATCAAATTTACAACGGTTATCATATTTTTAGCTTGTTACATGATAACCGGAAATTTGATCTCACCAGGATTTTCAATCAACTAGAATAGTAATAATTTATTTCAATCAGTTGATTGTTAATGTATATAAACTTACTCACTCTCTGTAAATAATCAAATTTAATCGGCAGAGGGAGAGTGGGAGGTGGGAAGTGTAAGGTGGGTTAAACTTTTATTATTTCCGTTTCGATCCACCCCAATATTATACATGAAGATTAATTCATATCCTTACTGGTTCCTGATTCCCAGTAATCATAATAATGGATTATGTTTAAAATTAAGCTAATAATAAATTGTTACAACTCTCAAATTGTTGCTCATTTATCAAATCAAATTCTGATTAGCTTGATTATCTAATAATCTTTGGTTGGTAACAAGATTTAATTGTTTACCATTTAACCTTATTAACCTCATTTGATAGCAATTGAAAAGTTTGTGAGTTTTTTATTCATGAAAATTTATTCATAATTAATGAGATGAAATTTTCAATTCTTATGAGAATTGATTTATTATTAATACAATTTCATTGATATTGTAAGAAAAAGTTATCAATAACAATTAAAGGTAATTGAAAGTTGATTTTCTGTTAATTGTTGTCTAACTTTGAATTGATTGTGTTTAAATTGTTGAGAGGTTAAATATTGTAAGTCTAATGGAAGTCACATTGATCATGAAATATGAACCAAGAATCAATTGATTGTGAACAATTTGATTGAAATTACTGAAGCCAACAAATGATGATGATACTCAAGATGAAGATGACGATAAAGATGATGAATGATGATAAATACAAACAAAGATATCAAATGAATGCTAAACCGTTGCTAAGATTTTCCTCTTGTTATTATTTTGTGTCATCTTCATAATACAATAAGAGTAACACCTTTTTTTGCATCCTCATCCTCATCCTCATCATCTTCATCATCTCGTTGTTGTTGTTGTTGTTTGAAAACCACAAAAGCTTTTGCTGTTGATTGTTGTTAATATTAAATTGATTGTCAGGCTTGATTTAAAAGGATTGTTGGATTCAATGATTTACAGTTATCAAGATGATAAACACATTGAAGCCTGAGATTTTTTTTTTCATGCTGATGGGATATAACTGAAAATAAACAATATCAAGGATAATAATAAACAAGATGATCAATATTAAACCTAATTTGAATATAACTATTAATATGATAACAATATTATCATATTGTTGTTATTGTTATTGATTTGGATTAATGTTATTGGATGAAATTTATATATATGTTTGGTGATTTGATTACGTTTTTTCATCTTGATTGTATTAAATTTATTATTTTATCTCTGTTCATATCATTCAAGATGATAATTTAGATTGATGATTAGAGTTTGTAGCATCCTAATTAAGTGTTCAATTTGATTTCAATTGAGAAATTTGGACAATTAGAAAACTAAAGGTATTCATTTGTATTAATATCAAGTTTTCTGATTTACTTTCATGAAAATTTTCAATGTTAGAATTGATTTTCTTATTGTAAAGGTTACATAGTTAATCAGCTATGTGGCATGAAAATGCTCATGAGGATGGAGATGATTGTGATGATGAAGAAAAAGTTTCAATCTCTTGACCATTTCAACCCTTGGCTTTTAGGGTTAAGGATAAAATAATTAAGATGATGATGATACACAAGAAAAAGCATAAAGTAAATACAGAGTATAAATAACTGGCTTAATAGGATGGAAAATGATGAGAAAAAGTGTTCATCTTCTTATCTTCATCATCATCATCCAAAAACTGAATCAGAATGATCAGCAAAAAGGATTTCAACTCTTTACCATCTCTATAACATGATAAGTAATTATGGATCTTTATCTTTCCCTCTTCCTCTTCCTCCACCTCCTCTTTTGATTTATTCTTGATAGTCTATTAGTTAGTGATGGAACTGAATTAAATGATGAAGATGAGGATAAGAAAAAGGGTTCAGAGAGAGAGAGAGAGAGAGAGAGAGAGAGAGAGAGAAAACTTTGTTAACTTTCATTTTGATAATATTATCATTATCATTATCAGTAACTAACTGAAGTCAGCATATAATCATGATGATGATGATGATTATGTTGCAAGAAAAGTAGTATTCACAATGAATTAGGATGAAGATGAAGATGAAAATAATGATAATGTTGATGATTATGATGATAATGATGATGATGTTGTTGTTGGTGAAGATGAGGAAAAATAGGAAAAGTATTAGTGTGTTTGTATGTGTAGTATATATGAAGATTGAGTTTACAAAATGGACTTTCGAGTCTTTTACTTCATCTCAAGTCCATCATCCTCATCCTCATCATTATTAAGAGCAAAAAGAGAATAAGAGAATCTTAATCTACAGTAAATTTCATCTTCTCATCCCTTATCATCTTCATCATCATGTTAACCCTTTGCTCTTCCAAATGATTTGATAAAAACTTATCTTATTTGATTGTCCAAGCAAAAAGGAGCTTATATGATAATATTATAAATAATTATCTTCCACCCACTCTCTGTATACTATTACCATGATGATAATGATAAAGAGAGATAGAGAATTCATCTTCATCTTCATCTTTATCTTAATTTAGTTTCAATTATTTGATGAGAAAGAAAGAAAATAAAAACAAAAAGATAAACATTCAATTTCTTATATTGGAAAGTAAATTAATCACTAATCACCCTTGATTTCCAATGATCCAACTAAATGACAATTATAATTAACTGTAAACATCGAGATGATTAATGTTGATTATATTGACAATCAAAAAAGGTACCAATTGATCAACATCCCAAGTAAGAAACAATCAAATCAATTTCTGTATTTGTAATGATAAAACACAAAAAAGCTCCATTGAAAAGTCTGGCGAAAAAAATTGATTGTTGATCACAATTTGCAATTACCAAAAGCACAATTAAAGGACAATTAACTTACAATTGTTGACTCTTATATAAATGTAATTGGTTGCAATTAAATTAAAGCCCTTATTTTTTTGCTCCACCAAAAAGGGTTTGATTGGTAAATGCAATTTAAAATACATTTACTAAGGTTCAGCTTTAGATAATCAATATAAATTGTAAATGGGAAAAAATTTCAAATTCAAATGAACAATTTAATAATGATAATCAGGGTAATAATAGTTAACTGTAAATTCAGTCAATGATTAACTTATTTTTCATCATCATTGTCATCATATAGATATTCAGATGATTCTATTGTCTAGAGTCCAATTGAATCTTTTGCTTACATTTTGAATTAGAATTTTTTTTTCTTCTCTCTTTTCATTTTCTTCTTCTTTTTTCTTCATCATTATCATTCCCTGTTGTGATGAAATCTAATTGCATGTCATTATTGACTGTCAACAGAAGCACCGATAACATATCATGAGAGAGAGAGAGAAACTTTTTGTTCTTTTTCATTAGTTTCTCTTTTTCTCTCAATTTCAACTTTATATATTTCTCTCAGTTGGAGTTGGGATTGAATTTCATGGTGAGAATTTTTTTTTCAAACTTTATCATCACTGAATCATTATCATCATTCCGTTTCCTTTTCTCACCTAGAATTACTAATAATCATTGAGAGAGAGAGAGGGGAGGAGACTTGCTGGCAGGTGATAAAGTTAAGTCAATAGTTTTTTTTTATCAGATATTCAATATGAAGTATTTGTAGCAATTAATGATAATCATGATGATTTTGATTCTGTTGATTTAAAAGGTTGTAGAATTATTTGTCAAACGGAAAACGGAAGTTGAATTGTGTAAAAATATTAGTAGAAAATTATTCTTAGATTATCTTTACGGAGATTCAATTGTTCATAGG